CCAGGCTCGAGCTTGCAATAACGACTCTTGTGTGCTTGCATCGGATTCGGCTCCTGGAGGTCTATTGGGATCCCACGAATCTGGCATTACAGTGCACACCTATAATCCCAGCAACTGGGGAGGCTGAGGCAGGAGGATCGCAAGTTCTCGGCCAGTTTCAGTAATTTTAGCAGGACCCCCTCTCAAAAAATAAGTGCCTGTGGGGCGAGGGATGAGCTGGGGATGTAGCTTGGGAGTAAAAGAGCCCCTGAGTCCTAGTGTAAGGGTCCGGCGAAGCGTCGGAGGAAGAGACCACAAGAGACTGGCTTCATGCAATAAGCAGGAGGGAGTTTATTGAGGATCCAATTCAGCGCGCTGAGGCTCCAGGCAGGCTCGCTGAAGAAGGGAGGGCAGCCCAGAGCCTAGAGCAGAGGTCAAGCAGTGCTTAAGTATACTTTTTGGGGAGGGCGGGGGGCTTTGCATACATCAGAACAAATCATCATGAGGCGTGGGAAAATTGAACAACAACTCTGAGACATGGTTAGTACATTCATTGGCGGAACAGATTGGACGGGGGTGATTGGTCACTCCTAAGCGGGGTACACATTCAAACTGATTGGTTTTAGGGCCTAAATGACTACGTGACAAGTTACACAGAGTCCCAGGTTATTAGACAACCAGGGAGTCAGTGGGAATATTTACTGGGCAGTTCCAGTATTGTCCTAACAGCTACAGGGATTTCAGGTTTTGGGGGTAGCAGAGGAATTTTAACAATACTTGGTCTTTTACTTTTTAACCCAGGCCTTGCAGTTTAGAAACTTTACAATGCCCAGTCTTTTACATTTTAACTCAGGCTTTGCAGCTTAGAATCAGCTTAGAAATTTTACCTTTACACTAGCCTCAGTACCAAAAAAAATAAAATTGAAATAAATTTAAAAACCCAAATTATTATTATTTTTTAAAAATATTTATTTTTTAGTTCTCGGTGGACACAACATCTTTGTATGTGGTGCTGAGGATCAAACCCGGGCCGCATGCATGCCAGGCGAGCGCGATACCGCTTGAGCCACACCCCCAGCCCCCAAATTATTTTTTTTAATATTTATTTTTAGTTGTGATTGAACACAATACCTTTATTTTTCGTGGCTGAGGATCCAACCCAGGGCCTTGCATGTGCTCTTCTGCTGAGTCACAACCCCAGCCCCCAAATTATTCTTTCATAATTCTGGAGACTAGGAATACAAATTATGATTATGGTTTGACCTGTTGGGGTAATCAGGTTATGAAGTCAACCTATTGGATTATGGTCAGTCTATTTACAGGAAAGGTGGACACATAGGGCTGGGGGTGGAGAGCACTTGCCTAGCATGGGTGAGGCACTCGTTCTATTCTCAGCACTTCATGTAAATAGATAAAATAAAGGTCCATTGACAACTAAAAAACCTTAAAAAAAAAAAGGACACATAGTGTCAGAGGTGAGGATAGTTTAGATAGTTTAGCCACCAAGGGAAAGGCCTTTTCGTTCTGAAAGCGATAACAAAAGGCTCTTGTTTTTGTACCCTCAGTCCCCCACAATCGTTAATGTCTTCATGCTTGATTATCTGCCTCTTTGCGCTGTGGGAATCGTTTTAGGGTGTCAGGAAGAAGCTGTTTATTGTGTAATTTAGACAATTTATTCTGCCAGAACATCGTTTCATTTACCGTGTATTTTACCCGAGTCTGGCCCATTGTATCTTTTTGTCATTTCTGCTCCTGTAGGATTATGAAGCATGGAAAAATTCTGTATAGTGTATCTATTGGCCCAGGCCCCTTTCCCTCCTGTGTGTTCTTGGTCGGCGTCTGTGGTGGGGGCAGGTCTCACAGCACGGCTAAGCGTCTGACTGTCGGTCAGGTATTCTCTGTGCAGTCTGCACCCTAAGAAGCCCCCACCAAGGGCGCGTCTGCTGCCCCGTGATCCCGTCAGTGTCCTTGGTCTATCCACCAGATTGATTGACCCTCGGTTAGCTTTTTATGTTGTTTGCCAGGTTTCAACAACAGCAAAGCTTGGCAGATTTGAAAGATTTTTTTTTTTTTTGGACAACTTTTGGGAGTGTGCTGGGGTATTTTGTTTTCCATTCTGAGGATTTAACCCAGGGGTGCTCTACCACTGAGCTGTACCCCAGACCTCCCCTTTTTTTTTTTGAGACAGGATCTCACTAACTTGCCATGGCTGACCTCGAATTTGCCATTCTCCTGCCTCAGCCTCCCGACTGGCTGGAATTATAGGCATGCACCACTGTGCATGGTTTATATATATATATTTTTTTTGGTACTGAGGATTGAACCCAGGGGTGCTTTACCGCAGAACTACATCCCCAATCTTTTTTCATTTTCTTTTCTCTGTTTTTTATTATTTTAAAATTTTTATTTTATTTAGTTTTAGTTGGACACAATACTTTGATTTTATGTGGTGCTGAGGATCCAACCCAGGGCCTCGCACGTGCTAGGTGAGTGCTTTACCGCTGAGCCACAACCCCAGCTCTCCTTTTCATTTTCTATTCTGAGAGAGGGTCTCACTAAGTTGCCCAACATGGTCTTGAATTTGTGATCCTCTGGCCCTGCCTCCCACGAAGCTGGGATTACAGGCATGGGCTATGGTGCCCAGCCGTTCTTGAGTTTTGTATTGTGGGATATTAACAACTTCTGCCAATATATGGGCAACAGAAAGGGGAAAAAACTGTCTCCCCACATGATTTGATGTTCAGAAACCTTGCTTAATGTTGCTGTCATGGGAAGACTATGTATTTGGAAGTCAGACAGACCCTGGGTTCAAATCCTGACTCTGCCACTCCCACTGGAACAAACCCAAGCGCCCTGCTTGGCCTGTGTGCATCATGCATGCGTGAGCCCTCTGAGGCCAGAAGGGGGCGCTTTCTCTCATGTCTGGGGAAAAAACTCAAAGGTGGGCTCTCCCAGCCTCCCAGGCTACGTGTGTGCTTCTCCTGTTGACCTGCTCTTCACGGAGCTGGGTTCTCTCCAGACTTCAGATTTCAGCCCAGACAATTCCTCCTCTGGGAAACCACACTGCTCCCCACTTGCTAGTTATGTAACATCTCTATACTTAACATCTTTGTGCCTTAGTTTTTTCATCTGTAAAATGAGGTTAATAGCACCTACCCCCGGCATTATGGTGAAGAATAGATGAAACATCATGCAAACAACCCCTACCAAGAGTAAGCACTCAACACATTTTGTTATTAAGTGTTGATTACTTACTGATTTTATGACACATGTTTAGTTTACTATTCTGACTTCTCTGCCCAGGTGAGGGGGGTGCCCCACTCTGTTCCCATAGTCCTGGTTCTTGTAACGCCAAACTGTACTCCCCACCCACCCACCCCTTTTTTTTCTTTTTTGCAGTACAGGGGATTAAACCCAGGGCCTCCTGCACGCTACGCAAGCACTCCACCACTGAACCCCTTCCACAGATGAAGCTTTCTTGAAAGCCTGGGGCAGAGAGATGCGATACCCTCAGTGCACCAGCCCATGCGGAGGCTCAGCCTTTGAAGTCCTGCTGCCCTAGTTTACAGAATAAAAAGGGCACATGGGTGAGGACAGCAGCTGTTCTTCTCCCCAGTGACCTGGAATAGAACTAGACAGAGCCCTCGGCCCAGGTGCCAAGAGCTGGGCTTCCAGGTGAGCTGCCACCTTCCTGGGCATCCTGCAGCCTCCCCTAGTGTTTCTGGGGTACATGCAGGATTCCTCATTCCTCACCCCTCATTCTTCCACTGCCCCCTAGAGGGCATTTTTCTCTAGCACCAAAGATGCCAGTCAAGATCCCCTGAGGACCGATATAGTTAGATAACACCCCCTTCTCTCCTGTGTTCAGTCCTGTTCTGGTTTAGATATCAGGTGTCCCCTGAAGGCTCGTGTTAGACAGTGCAGGAAAGTGCAGAGGTGAAGTAACTGAGCTTTGAGAGCCCTAACCCAATCAGTGTTTGAATCTACTTGAATGGATTAGCTGGCTGGCAACTGTAGGCAGGTAGGGTGTGGCTGAGGAGGTGGGGTCCTGGGGACCTGCTTTTGTCCCTGGTGAGTGAGAGCTCTCGCTACTCCCTGTCATGTCCTGAGCTGCTGTCCTCCACCACACCTTCCCACCATGACGACTGCTGTGTCACCTCGGGCCAGAGCCATGGAGTTGGTCCTCTAGGGACTGAGACCTCGGGAACCGTGAGCGCCAAATAGACTTCTCCTCCTCTAAAGTCGCTCTTGTCAGGCCTTTTGGTCCCAGTGGCGAGAGAGCTGACTGGAACATCTCTGGGGTTGTGGCTCGGGATAGAGGCCCCGGCACCACAGGACAACACCCACCAATGATGATGGTTCCAGAGAGTGCGGACCTGGTGCCATTTCAGGGAGCTGGGATTGAGGGACCCGAGGGAACACTATTGACAAGAGGCCAGGAAAGAGTGGTCTGGGGCGGTGACATGTGAGCCGTGACACAATGACCTGCAGACACCAGCCATGGACACCAGTGGAGAAGAACACTTGGGGCAGAGGGGACCTGCTCCGTGTGGCAGGAGCGCAGCCCGTCAAGGAGCAGCTGCCTGGTCCCCTGCTGCTTCTGCACGTGCCGCTTCTCTGGACCCTCAGAGAGGCTCCTTGGGCATCTTCAGCCTCCCCCCAGCTGGGTCTGAAGGCCAAGGCCACAGCTCTCCTGGCCTGGGGCCCTCTCTAGAGGCCCGTGGCTGGGCCGGATCTGAGTTCCTGGTTCCTGTCTGGCACGGGTGAGCCAAGTCCTCCCAACCTCCTCTCCCAGGGCTCCATTCTGGCCCCAAATCTCCATGGCAACCCTTGACACAATCCCGTCCCACAGGAGATGGGTCTAGAAGGGGGAGCCCAGAGACCACAGTGCAGAAGCCACAGTCACTGGTGGACGTGCCTCCCTGTCCTTGTGTCCTGCCAGCTGCCCCATAGTGGGCTAGGCCCGTCCCTGTGGCCCCAAGGATCTTCAGGTCGCCCGCTGCTGGGCGCACCATTGCTGGATGGCCGCCTGTGGGCTGCTCCTGCCCCGGAGGCTGCTCCTGCTGGGGATGGCCGCCCTGGCTGCGTCCGCTCCGGAGTCAGGTGAGTGTGGGCCCAGCCAAAGCACCCAGGAGGCTCAGCCCCGTCACTCTGGAGACTGTGTCCCCCGAGTCCACACTCAGCCCGAGGGACTGGGCCCCCTTGAGTGGAGGGGGCTGGGAAGCCCTGTGCCCGGTCTTGCTTGGTATCCCCATGTCCACCCCAAACCCTTCCAGAGGCCAGAGCTCCAAGTCACCCAGAAGCAGGGGCCTGGGGGCAGGCAGGACAGTTGCTTGAAATGCAAACTATCGTGGCTTGGGAATCAGGTGCCCGTGCACCCTGCCTGTGACACGTCTCTGCCCCTCCTCATCCTTCAACCCTCCAGGTCTCGGGTCCTGCAGCAAAGGGCTGGGTAGGCCTGGTGGTGAGGCAAGGCCTGGGGTGAGCCGGCCCTGGTTCCTACCCAGACCTAAAAAGGACAAGAGGACAAGCATCAGGGACCACCACTGTGCCTACACGACAAGGTCCCCCACACCAGGCCCTCTGCCTGGCACAGGGAGTGGCCCAATCGACTCACTCTTTCCTTTTTCTTCCTCTATTTTTTCTTTTCCCTTCCTGATACTAGAGAAGGACCAGGGCCTCACCCAGCTAGGCGAGTACAGTTCCCCTGAGCTCTGCCCGCCCGAACTTTACAAGGTTATTCTACTTTTATTTATATAAAAAATTTATTTCTGGGGACTGAACCCAGGGGTGTTATATCTCCAGCCCTTTTTTGTTTTTTTCTTTTTTTTTTTTTAAGAGAGAGTGAGAGAGAGAGAATTTTAATATTTATTTATTTATTTACTTTTTTAGTTTTTGGCGGACACAACATCTTTGTTTGTATGTGGTGCTGAGGATCGAACCCGGGCCGCACGCATGCCAGGCGAGTGCGCTACCACTTGAGCCACATCCCCAGCCCTTGTTTTTTATCTTGAGACAGGGTCTCACTGAGTTGCCTGGTTGGCCTGGCACTTGTGTCCCCTGCCTCAACCTCCCAAGTCGCTGGGTTTACGGGCTTGTCCGCCACCCCAGCTCCAATTTCCTCACGTTTTAAATTTGATTTTACTTATTTATATGCGGTGCTGAGAATCGAACTCAGTGCCTCCCCCACACTAGGGAAGAGTCCTAGCACTAAGCCACGACCCCGACCCAATTTCTTCCCTTTCTGAACTCCCTCCTTCCAAGGCAGGCTCTGACAACAGCAGGTCTACACAGACACACCCTGAGCCAGGGAAAGACCTCCTCCGTGAAGCCCAACATCCTGGCCGGTCCTGGAGCACCCCCTGGAGCTCCCGCCTTGCCGGGGCTACCCACCTCCTCTTCCATCCCTGCGCTTAGAAAAATCTTCGTAGTGTGGACACTTACACATTTTCTCATCTAATCCTCGCAATTAGAGGGGGATGTTTTGGTCTCTAAGTAACATACTAGATGGAGCTTAAACGTAAAGACACTGTTTCCCTTACGAGAGGCTGAAGCTAGACGCAGAGGCGCACACCTGTAATCTTGGTAATTAGGGAGGGCTCAGGCAGGAAGATCAAAAGTTCAAGACCAACCTCAGCCACTTAGTGAAACCCTGCTCAACACAAAACATAAAAAAGACTGGGGCTGTAACTTGGTGGAAAGCAAGGCTGGGTTCAATCCCCAGTATTGGGGGGGAAAAAAAAGGTGGCTGTAGGTGATTCCAGAGCTAAGTCAGCAGCTCAACTGTGTCAGCATTTCCCTCTGATTCTCACCACCTCACCTTGTAAGATGACTGTTGCAGCTCCAGACATCACACCCTCAATCAACTGTTTCAGAAGCCTGAAGAAAAAGGGACTCCTCACCACACAGCACTCCCTCTTTTTTATGGGGAGGAAAACCTAGGAAACTTAGGGTCTCCCAGCAGATCTTCCTTCAGTCTCATTGTTCAGAACCAGGTTACGAGCCCGTTCCTAAGCCTGGCAAAGAAGATTAGGAGTATAAAACTTAGTCCCTTTAGCACCCAAATGTGTCCACTCCATCCTTGAATAAGGTAATAGTAGTAGCTGACACTTAAGTATCTCTTGTTAACTGCCAGGTGCTGCCCGACCCCTGACCAGTCCGCATCCACAATCCTTTGGTTGAGATTCCAACATTCACAGTGCAGCACTAGGCTGGGACTGGCCCGCGGCTGTGGACCGCCCCTGTCTGCCCCACTTGGGGTGACTGTCCGTGGGGGGCGCTGGAGATGGTATTTGCTCTCGGAGAGCTGCTGCGGATGTCATTTGACTGCAGCTTAATAGAACATACATACATCGCGTTAATTTCATTTTTTCTGTGCTGTGGACAATTCTGAAACACACCCAGGGCTGTGGGATAAGGGGCTGTGGAGTTGAATTAAACTAAATCGCTCAGTCCTCACCAAAATTCTGGGATTGCTTAATCATCCTCATTTTCCCTGATGAAACTGAGGCTCGGAGAGGGTGAGACACTTGCTTGGGGTCACAGAGGGCTCAGGTTTGGAATTGACCCGGGGTTTGCCTTTCCCCGCAGCCGACCTGGTGGACCTGTGCGGGCAGGCGTGGCGCGGGGACGCGCTGCTGCTGCGCTCGCACTCCGCGTCCCGCAAGTTCTACTTCGTGGCTCCGCACACGGACTGCGGGTTTTGGATGCACGCAGCAGCCGCAGGCGACAGAATCCGCTTCCAATTCCACTTCTTCCTGGTCTACAGCCTGACCTCGGGGGCCGGGGGGCCCAACTCTTCCCTGGCGCCCGCAGACCCGTGCGCCCCCGGCTCCTACCTGCAGTTCTACGAGGGGCCGCTGGGGGCGCCCCGGCCCCTGGGGCCTCCCCTCTGCGGCCTGACCATCCCGGCCCCCGTGGCATCCTCGGGACGCTCCCTAGGGCTGCGCCTGGTCACTAGAGGCCGCCAGCCCCGCGTGGACTTTGTGGGCGAAGTCACCTCTTTCCGGCTGGGTGAGTTGGGGCTGAAGGGTAGGAGAGGGCCCAGCACACGGGCTGCAGAGAGCAGGGCAAGGTGGGGGCACAGAAGGTGGAGGGCCGTGGGTCCTGACAGAGGGTAGGAGGTGGTGACCAGGGGGCAGGGTGGGGTGTCCCAGCGAGGGACATTCCAGACCCAAAGAACCCCGCCCTACAGCTGCGGGCACAGCCATGCACACTCACACAGCTCACCAAGTGCACACCCGACCCTCCACCATGCAACACACCACTCACGTCCTACACACCTATGCACAGGAAGTGCCACCTTACACACTTAAACGAGTCACACACTGGTCCTCTCTCCTGCTCAGCCCTTCAGAGGTTTGCAGAGGGCATGGTCAGGCCGCTGGTGATTGCAAGTTATGGACACACACTCAAGCAACAGGGGCCCCTGGGAGGGGAAGTTAAAGGTCCTGATTCATTAAGCACTGCGTGGTCCCCTGGGCTCCGGCAGGCCCCACAGCAACTATGCTGGCCAGTGATATTATTATTTTTTAAATTTTTGAGATGTTCTCACTACCTTGTGGAAGCTGGCCTCAAACTTGAGATCCTCGTGCCACAGCCTCCCCAGGCCCAGGGATCACAGGCACGTGCTACTGCACCTGGCTTCTGGCCAGAACTGTTACCCTCACATCATGGGTGGGAATTGGCCCAGAAGGTTGGGTGCCTGAGACCTCCCCACCCACAAGTCAAGCTGCTGGCCTTTCATGCTAGAGGATGTTCTTCAGTTTAAACTGAGTTTGAGGTTTTAGCCCTGGTGGGTTCTCCTAGGACGGCAGCCACCTGCTGATGTCCCCATCATCTGCAGTGATGGTGAGAAGATCAGCTCCCAAAGCCTGGAAGCTTTATGGCCATTCCCAGGAAATCCCCAGTTAGAGGACTAACAGGACGGTGAGCACTTAGCAGCCAGGCAGGGGCCTGTGCGCGCCAGCACAGGGTCAGGAAGAACCAGGCTTTGACAGCGGGCCCTGGGCAGCCCTGTCACAGCGAGCTGGTGGGAACACGCCCACCCATGCCAGTCTCATTTGTCCCCTTAGTCAAATGTATACTTTCTTCCTCCCTGGAATTGCGCATGCTCTGAATTTCGGATTTTAGACCCCCTTTGCTACCATAGTTGCTGGCTCTGGGATAAACTATATGAGAAATATATATATATATATATATATATATATATATATATAAGTGATGGTTTTTTTTTTTTTTTTTTTTGTACCAGGGATTGAACCCAGGGGCGCTCAACCAATGAGACACATCCTCAGCCCTTTATATTTTTTATTTAGAGGCAGGTTCTCACTGAGTTGCTGAGGGCCTCGTTAAGTTGCTGAGGCTGTCCCTAAACTTGTGATCCTTCTGTCTCAGCTTCCAGAACTGCTGGAATTACAGGCATGTACCCCCTCGCCCAGCAACTTCATGAAGTACCCTAGATCCCTGGGGCCATGACTAATAGCATCTAGAGGGCCCCTCTCTGGGTCCTGTAGGCTCTAGATGCCAAAGCTCCTGTCCTGTTACAACTCTCCTGCGGTGGGGAGGACATCAGCTGCCCCCTCCTCCCTCACTTCTGTGGCCTCGAGCCACGAAAGTCACAGCTCTTTACCGTTTTGGAGGGGCTCCAAAAAGTAGGATATTAAGGAATTGGTTCAGGTCTAGCTGGATCCAGGAGTTCAGGCGCTGTCTCTGCGTTCCCTTTCTCCGTCTGTGGGTGCACAGTGTGAGTCTGTGTGGTTTCCATCTCAGGCAGCTCCTCTTTGACTTGGCAACAAAGTGACCCTGTAGCTTCAAGTCCACAGTCACCCTTACGGCTCCACCCTCGGGAAATAGAGAGCGAGTGTGTTTTCTTACAGTTCTAGCAAAAGTCCTGAGGCCAAATCTGATCATGGGGCATGTGTCCATTGATGCAGCCAGAAAAGGGAATGCTCTGATTGGCCAGGCCCAGGTCCCATGTGCACAGCTGAGTGTGGTGTTGGTCAGTCCCAGGTGAGCTAGCTTCGTCCACTGCACGGGTTGCCAGGTGTGCCAACCTGGCTGCCTGACCCTGCGCAGGGAGTCATGCCATTTTCTCCCGTGTGCACGTTTGTTCATTAATGAGTATTAGCTGAGCACCTGCTATGTGCTGCGGGCTGCCCTCGGCTTTAGGGATAGAGCAGTGAACAAAACAGTAGCTTCCTGCCCCAGCAACTGACCTGGGTGGGGAGAGACCATAAGCAAATCAGCCAGTGAATCTCTCTGCAGATGGCAGCGAGTGCTGCAGGGGACCCAAATCAGGAGGGAGGGAGGAGTATGGGTGAGGGGGGTGGGCTTCCTCAGGATGGGGAAGGTCACACTTGAGTGATGTGAGGAGCATGGGTCAGGGGCTGCCAGGAGACAGAATTCCAGGAGGAGCTGAGGGCAAGTGCAAGGCAAGTGTAAAATCCAAGGGTTTGCTGGGGGTGTGAGGCTCACTGAGAAACTCAACATGTGTGCACACGTGTGCAGACCCACCCGCACCACCATGTGCCGGTGTTAATTAATGAGCACAGGATTTAGAACCAGCTTGCCTCAGACTGACATACAAGCTGTGTGACCTTGGTCAGGGGACTTAACCTCTCTGTGCTTCAGTCTTCTTATCTTAAATGGGGCCAACAGCAGTATGTACTCCATGGGTTTGCTGGGAGGACTAAGTAAGCTGGGGTGAGACGCTTAGAACCCTGCCTGGCACAGAACAGAAACTCAGTGTTAGCTGCCACCACCAGCGGGCTCATCCTCATCCATCTGACCCCTCCTGCCCTTGAGACCGTCCTCATGCTCCTGTCTGGGTGCTCCTGACAGCCCTCTGCTCACACCTCCATCTCCCTACAGGGCCACACACCCTATGGATCCAGGATCCTCATCCAGCCATCCCCTCTCTCTCCAGGACCCTGTGGAGCCTATTTCCGCTGTCAGAATGGCAGGTGCATCCCACCGAGCCTGGTGTGTGACCCCTGGGGCATGGACAACTGTGGTGACGGCAGTGACCAGGGCTCCTGGCCACCAGCCAGCTGTAGAGGTCAGTGATGGGTGAGGCCTGGGCCCTGCAGAACGGCTGCCAGGGAGGCTCTGGGGCAGGAGGTGGGGAGGCAGGAGGTAGGAGGCAGGGGAGCCCCAGGGAGGGCTGAGGAGTCGGGCAGTAGCAGAGCTGGAGGCCGGAGCAGGTAGAGTGGGAGCAGCACCGAGAGGAGCCAGTTCAGTGCTTGTACGTGATGGCTAGTGGCAAACGTCTCGGATGGGCCCTGGCACCGGGTGACATCAAAAGGAGAGATGTTCTGCGTAATTGGAACCGGGGGGCCTCACCCGGCTGCCTGACGTCTGTCCAAGGGTCCTGGGTTCATCACCCTCGAGACACTTCAAAACCATCATCGTGGAGACACTGAGGTCTTGGAGAGAGTCCGTGTCTTGCTCAAGGTCACAAAGCAGAGACAACACTCCGGGGCTCTTCTTCAGAGCTCTCAGGATCTCCCCTCGCCTCAGGCCAGGTCTCGGCTTAACTCTTCTTTTTTTGGCACCAGGGATTGAACCCGGAGGCTCTGAACCACTGAGCCGGGTCCCCAGCTCCCCCCCCCCCCCCCGCTTTTTAAATATTTTATTTAGAGACAAGGGCTCACTGAGATGCTTAGGGCCTCGGTAAGTTGCTGGGCTGGCTCTCAACTCCTGATCCTCCTGCCGCAGCCCAAGGACTTTCTGTCCATCTGTCCTCGTCCCTCCCCTAAAACCTGGAGCAGCTGGGGCTGCCTGGAAACACTGTTCAGATGAGGGGAGAATGAAACGCTCCACGCCTCCGGGTCCTTCTTTGTGAGATGGGGGATACGCCTTCAGGAGCTGGGGGGAGGCACTGCGGGGACAGGGCCCTGCAGAGCGCGGTGCTTAGGGCACAGAAGGTGCTTGGTTCGCCTGTGCACTGTCCCCTCCTGAGAAGGAGCTCGGGAGCCAGGCTGGGGGCGTCAGGGTCACTGCAGGGGAACTGGGCTGCACGAAATGACCTCACAAGAGATAGAGGTACCTTTTTCTTTGGGTCCTGTGACTGCTCCTCTGACCTTAAGGGTCCGCAGAAAGAGAGAGAGAGTGTGCAGGCACGTGTGCGTGCGCTGACCCCTTTTATTGAGGAGAAACCATTCAAATGCAGCAAGGGGTCGGGTTTCAGAGGGCTGAGTCTAGCAGGTTGCCTGACATCTAGGAAGGCCATACCCAAGGGCACAGTAAGAGAAGGGGACACACAAAGGGCGTTTCAACATTCTATCCCAAACAGGTCAAAGGGGTAGGATTACAAAGGAACAGATGAGTGTAGCTCGACCCCACGGGTGACCCGCCCACACCTGAAGACACGCCCTCAACTTCCTGGACTGGGATAACGTCCAGGTCACTGCAAAATGTACTGATAGAAATGTAGTGACCAGGGCTAGGGCTGCAGCTTAGTGGAAGAGCGCTCGCCTGGTATGTGACGGTCAGAGCCTCTCACTTCAGGATGGAACTGCAGGGGAACTGGGCTCCCACATGGGGGCGTCCAAGCCCCCTCCTCCCCTCCCACTGTGTGACCTTGGCAAGAGACTTCAGCCTGTAAAACGGAAGCACTCAGAGAGGCCAACTCAGAGGCTGCAGGAGGAGGTGCCCAGGAGGGGCGGTCCCTTGTATGCTAGCGGTCACTGCCCACTGCAGGTCCCTCTGCAGTACCCAGATGGACCAGGAGCACACATGACAACGCCTCTGAGCCCCTGGCTCTCAGCTCTGCAGACCCCCTCCAGATCACGGCCCAGACAAGCCCCCCAGGAAGCGGGAACCCTGCCCAGCAGGACGCAGCTTTGGAAGGTAGACAGACAGACGGCTGTTGGTGACGTGCATTCCTGCTCTTCCCACACTCGTCCCTGTTCAGGTGAGGGGGACGGGGCTGTGGGCCCAGGCTGTGGCTAACTGGACTCCCTTTTTCTTGGCAGGCCCTGGGTTACACGGGATGGCGCTGGCCTCCTCTCTGCTGCTGGCCTCTGCTGGCCTCCTCGTGGGCCTCCTGTGGTGCTGCTGCTCCCTGGGCTGGCTGGCCTGGGAACCTGGGGTCCATGGCCTCCGCCTCCGACGCAGTACACCCTGCAACATCTGCCACATGTGTCCTGACCGGGTTGCCCCTGGGGGGCTACGGCAGAGTGGGCTGGCCTTCCAGGATCGGGAGACCGTCCCTAGAGAGGCTGTGGGGGTCTGGGGACGAGAGTGGGCTCTGGGGCCAGACATGCCCTGAGCTCCAAGTCCTGGCTGGCTGGCGGGCCTTGGACAGGTCACTTGTCCCTCTGAGACTCTGTCTACCCCTCTGGAGAACAGTGCAAGTCCCACTGCCCAGTCGTGAGGAGCTAAAGCACACACAGTAACTGGTCCCGTGGCGTGGGGAAGGGGGACAGCTGTGCCGTGGCTCCTATCTGTGGGATCACGGAAGGGTGCGACTCCATGAGCAGGGCAGGGAGGGGTTTGCTCACCGAGGTCACCCTGCTTCACTCCAGGGTCTCTGTGGCCCAGCTCGGCCCACCCCGGCCCACCCTCAGGTGCAGCCCTGTCAGGACTGGTCAAAGACACAGGAGACCCCTGGCGGGGATAGCACCGTTTATTAAGAAAAATCAAGACAAAGACCACAGCAGGGTCCCTTGTAGGACCCTGAGGCCAGGGGTCCAATGCCACAGTCCAGGGCCCGCTGACCCCGCTGGGTCCTGAGGCTCTCAGGCGGGCAGCGCGGTCACTTCCCCTCCTCTCCCTCCAGTCAGGAGTCTCGCTTCCCCCGCCCAAGGCACTGCTCCTCCTGACCAAAGGCTCCCCCACATCCCTGGGCCTTCACCTCCAGATGAGTGGGGGGTGTGGCCTGGTGTGGCAGGAGGCCTCTCAGGGTGGCCTCTGCCTGTGGCAGCTGCCAGTGAGAGTTGGAAGGGGTTTCCCTTGCAGCCCCTGAGGGCAGGGCCCTGGGCTGGGTGTTGGGGTGGGGTGCAGGCCGGAGGGCTTGGGGGGAGGCTGCCGGGGCAGGTGGCCCTGCTGTCTAGGAGGAGGCAGGTTCCACAGCGGGCACTGAAGAGCTCTGGAGAGAGGTGGGCACGGCCACTGAGGCGCCTGCTCTTAGGCCCCAGGTGGTGAGCTAAGGTTTGCTCTCTGTGGAAGAAGGGGTGCCCAAGGGCGGCCCAGATGGCACCCCAACTCTATGATGGGAAGCCCCCTGTGGGCAGAAGAGCAGGGGCAGTTCCACCCAGCCCCCGTGCCGGCCCCGAGTCCTGGTGGCCTTCCGAGGCAACCTACTCCCCTCCTGCCTGCCTGCCCACCCGCCTGCGGCCCTGTCCACGTGTGGGGGGGTGGCGTGCCCACTCCAGTCCAGCCCAGGGCGTAGCAGCAAAGCGTGGCATTGCCTCGGTTTCTTACAAAAAATTCACCATAATAATATTAATAATAATATACTCGATGTGGTTGGCGGGGGCCCTGCCCGGAGTCCGTGTGGGGCAGCAGGTGCCTAGGAGGCGCATGGGCGTGTGTTGGCCCCCGCCTGGGCGCGGTGCTGCAGGTCCAGGGGCTGCGGGGGTGGCGCGCCAGGCCCGGCCGAGTGCAGGACCAGATTCTTGATACAGCCCGTGATGCCCGAGGAGAACCTGCCCCCGGTCAGCGCGGCCACGTTCGGGGCTCCGCCTGTGGGGAGTGGAGTAAGAGGACCTGTTGGCTGCAGAAGCCCAGGAGCCCAGCAGGCCAGGGGACTCCAGGGGACTCCAGCATTGCAGGGGGCAGCTCCCTCCCCTGCCAGCAGAAGGCCCAGCACGGGACTTACCGACGTAGACGCTGCCTTTGGTGTTGACTGCCACATTAGGGCCTGGGGACCGCCCGCTGACCAGCTCCTCGCCATCAACCTGGATGGAGCCTCGCCGGCCCTCTCTGCGGTGGAACTGGGTTAGGCCCTCGCCCCGAATTCCCAACCACAGTAACCGCCCCCCACCCCGGCAGGCTCCAGACAAGCCCCCGCCTGCTCCCAGCGCCTCCCTCTGGAGAGCAGGCCGCGAACCCCACCCGAGCCTGCTCCAGGGTCTTCCCTCTCGCGGCCTCCGCCTCCAGGGCCTTCCCTGAGCCTGCCGGGAGCTGCCCCCTGCTCCACACTCGGCCTCCCAAGCTCAGCGCTACCTCTCTGGGCATCATGGGCATCCTGTCCCCTTGAAGCACCGTGGGCCCTTATCTCCGGTGCCCACTGGGCACATCCTTACCGCAGTGCTGTCACACGATGCCACTCGCCGTCATTGATGGGGTCCTCAGAGACCAGGCGGGCCTCCCCGCTGCCTAGCTGGTAGCTGTGGGGACACAGGCCGTGAAGGTGTGAGCTGGGGCAGGACTGGAGGTGCGGCTGGCAAGGGTGGGCACAGTGTTGGGGGGGGCTCTGGGAGTGGCAGCTGCCTGTGGGAGGGGCCAGGACTCACCTGAAGACCAGGTGCCCATTCTGCAGTCCGAGGCTGATGAAGTCCTTGCCATGGCCGGCCTCTCCCACCTCCTGCCAAGGAAGCACAGGGTCTCTAGGGTCCCCAGCCTAGAAAGCCGAGGTCCTCTAAGGCGGGGGCCTTTACCTTCCTCTCTCCCCTCTGCCCCGGCCTCCAGGAGGCCAGCCTCTGCCCAGGAGTCCCGAGACTCAGGGCCAGTGCCCACTCACCACGCCCTGCCAGAGCAGGAGGCCGCTGGCCGTGCTGGTCCGAACCTCCAGCTCCACAGTCTCGGGTGCTTCAGGCAGGCTGTGGTGGAGGAGAGGGGGAGAGGACAGAAACCTGAGACTCCTGTCCTCCCCCTGGGTCTGCAGGCTGTCCCAACCAACACCTTCTTACCTCCTGGAGAAGACGCGGCTGGGCAGGGAGAGGAAGCCGTTGTCGTGGAAGTAGGCTCCGTACTGCCCGGGGGCATCTGCGAGGTGGGGTGGGAGTGGGGACACACCTGCTCCCATCAGGTCCCCGGGGGTTCCCTGACCCCCCCTCCACCCCACTGCCCGAGGGCTGGGACCCTGCGGTCCCTGATACCCAGACACCTGGGCAGGCAGAGGGGCCATCAACACCGTTAGGGGTCTGTGAACTGGGAGGGGAAACTCTGCCTCTCTGTGCGTCTTCCTGATACTTCTTCAACCAGGGATGGAGGTGACCAACCAGAGCAGTAGTAGCGGGGCCTGTGACTGTCACTAATATTTGCTTATCACCTTAGAGTAGCCATTTTGTTTAGCTGCAAATGTTTTAAAATATTGTTTCTGTTCCTGCTGTTTTGAAAACAGCAGTAGCTCTTCAGACCACCACAAGACCCTGCTGTTGAATGTGCTAATAAAGAAGCACGTTGTTGCAAATCTAAAAAGTGGTTTGATAACTTCATTTCAGTCTAGCCAGTTTCCTTTGAAATCCTGTGTTTCTTACGTCCTGCAGCTGACAGGGTCCATGGCGGGTGGGCCCGATCCCTGTTGACCAGGGTCTGTCTGACTTGAGCCCTCAAAGCCCCACAGCTTCTGAAACCCTTAGTCCTCAGCAAACAGGGACAGCTGGCTGCCCCAGTCCCTGGCCCTGGGCTGTTCCGAGCCCAGGTGATCCTTGGCTTACAGGTGGGAAGCCTGCAACCTGGGCCCGCTGGCTCCAGGGCCACACCACCCCAACACCACCCACTCAGACCCACCGGCAAGCCAGCGGGCAGCACAGGCCTGGCAGGTGCAAGGGCAGGACACTCTGCTACTCTCTACCAAGCACCCAGGAAAACTGCTCAACTTGTGATCCTCCTGCCTCGGCCTCCAGAGCCACTGGGATTACAGGCGCACAGCACTGCGCCTGGCAAGTCCCTCCAAGGCTTGTTTTGTTTAGAGGTGGAATTGAGGGTGTGGGTAACCGATGGGACAATGGCTGCTCTGGCTGGCCATAGCAAGTACATACCGTTACCCCCACTGCCTTCAAGATGCCACTCGGACTCTGCCACGTCATGTCCAGAGCCTGTGGGGAAGGGCAGGTTCTAACTGGTGGGTACAGACACCTGGGGTGTCCAGCCCCTGGGCCCCAGAGGGAGGTGGACAGAAGCCAGGCCTGGTACCTTGTTGGCAGCGTGGGCCAGAGAAGCCAGGGAGACAGAGGCAGCGGGTGCCCTGGCAGGTGCCCCCATGCAGACAGGGCTCCTGGAGCTGGCAGGGGTTCTCCTCGTGCTCACAGAGGTCTCCTGCAGGCCAGGGCAGAGGTGGGTAGGTGGGCAGGAGCTAGAGGTGCCGCTGACCACCTGTGTCCCCAACGCCCCGGGGCAGCTCTTGCACCTTTGAAGCCGTCTTGACACAGGCACTGGAACTCGTACTCGCCAGCGGGCATGCACGTGGCGCCGTGCTGGCAGGGCTGGCGCTCACAGGGGGAGCTGTCGTAGCACTGCCCGATGCCCCGGCTGCCCAGGAAGCTGTAGGTGAGGTCCAGCCGCTTGCCATTCACAGACACCTGCGGGCACAGAGACACGGAGGGACTAAAGGGATGCAGATGGATGAGGCAGCAGAGAGAAGGGCACAGCGGAGGGCAGCTGGGAACCAGGCGCCAAGAACACCTGTCCACCCTGCCGATGCCCAGCACGGTCCTTCCAAGTGAGGGTTAGCATTCCTATATATATCATTTTTTGGGGGGGTACCAGGGATTGAACTCAGAGGCACTCCACCACTGAGCCCCACCCCAGCCTTAATTTATATTTTAGAGACAGGGTCTCACTGAGTTGCTTAGCGCCTCCTCATTGCTAAGGTTGGCTTTGAACCTACGATCCTCGTGCCTCAGCCTCCAGAGCCGCTGGGGTCACAGGCTGTGCCACCGTGCTGTCTATTATCCCCATTTTATGGAGGGGAAAACCAAGGTGCAGGGGGGGGAGCGGGGGGGGGGAGAGTGGCCCCAGACCAGGGCTAGCTGCAGGTTGGCCCAGTCTGTCCCCTCCCCTCCTGCTCGTCCTCACAGGCGGTTCCTCACCTCGCCCACGCAGCCGCGGAAGTGGGCGCTCACGTTGGCAGCCGGGGAGGGCGGCACTGAGGGCTCCACGCCGCCCAGGTAGAGGGGGGTGTGCAGGTTGAGGCCCTGGCTCTTGCCGGGGGAGGAGCGCAGCACGGGGCGCCCGCCGTCCACCCGCAGGCTGCCGTCCTTGTTGAGACGCTCTGCGGACGCGCGGTGCCAGCGGCCCAGGGCCAGCGGCTCCATGCTTCGCAGGACAGCCAGACCTGGGGAGAGCGCCAGGTGGAGCTGGGCACCAGGGTTCTGGTCCCCCCACATACAGGGGAGCTTCTGACCTCCTCAGGGGCTGCCCATGGAGGAACCAGGGGCTGCTGAAGGCCACACACGGGAAACGTGCAGGGATAGGGGCAGCGGGCACGTTGGTTCCTGAATTTGCTCCTTAGCGCCTCCTTGGGGCACGAGAGCCAAAAGAGGACACAGGGCTTGGCGCCCAGAGCCTCACCTGCATTTGGTACCAGGTACTTACCTGACCCCAACTCATAGCGAAACTCCAGGTGGCCGCCGACCATGGCCAGGGACACAAAGTCCTCCACAGGCCCGGCCTTCCCCCCACTGAACAGCAAGATGCCTTCTGGTGCCAGCGGCTTGAACTCGACATCCAGGCGCAGCTCGTGGTGTGTGTTGGTGAGGGCGGGCAGCGCCAGGTAGGAGCCAGCGCCCGACATGGACGGTGTGGTCACTGTCACACCTGCAGTAGTCACAGGTCAGCCAGGGGCAGTGGGGACAGTGGAGTCCCAGGTCTCATCCAGGACAGCTACTCAGTCTTACCCTGGGACCCCAGTACCCCTAAATCCTCAACCCAGAGGCTCAGGAACATGTGGCTGCAGTGCCCAGCAGCCCTGGCCCTGGGGCAGCAGATCAGACTGTAGGGACCACCAATAAGTTAGCCATTCTGGGTGGGGGCGCAGGTAAGGGGTTCAGGCTGCAAGTATGAGACAGCATGGCCAAGGGATCTGAGATTTTTTTCTTTTGGGTACTGGGGAATTGAACCCTGGGGTGCTTAACCACTGAGCCACATCCCCAGTCCTTTTTTATATTATTTTTTAGAGACAAGGTCTCACTAAACTGCTGAGGCTGGCTTTACACTGCGATCCTCCTGCCTCGGCCTCCTGAGCTGCTGGGATCATAGGCGTGCGCCACCGCACCCAGCCGATCTGAGGTCTTCCGGGGAATAACTATCCCCTGCAGGGCTCAGTCTGGCCTCTGAGTGCCTGGCCAGCTTCCACAGCCATCACTGAGACCCTGTGGGTGTCACACCTGATTCCACTCACCTTCCTCACACCTCACCCCCGAGCGACCCAGGTGGCAGCGGCAGGTGTAGCCTCGGCCATCGGGCCGGTTCACACAGGTGGCGTCGGGCCCACAGGCCTCTGGGGAGCAGAGAGGCCGTGAGGACACTGAGGTCTGAGCCCTGTCCTTTGCACCCTGGGGCTTGGCTTCCTAGGGCCAGGCCAGCTGAGAGGGCCGCCCAGGGCGTGAGGGAGGAGGGATGGGGCCAGAAGAGGCTGCGAGGCGGGGACAGCCGGGCGTGAAGAAGTGACTGTGCTTGGGGCTCTCTGAGACTGTACTTGGCCACCACCCCCGCAAAAAAAGACCACGTTTGGGTAACCGTGTAGGGTGACGGGCTCCTGGGTAATAAGATGGGGAGGTGGCAGGGACCCAGGAGCAGTGACCAGCCGGGGAGAGAACCTGGGGGGCTGCGAAGGGAAGAGTTCAGTTCCTGGGCAGGAATGGTGAGAGGTGGGAGCTCCCCAGAGGTTGGGGAGGGGGTGGGTACAAAGGGGCAGCAGGGGCGGAGGCCAGCACCCAGGGTGACGGGCAGGGCGGGGCACACACCGGGGTGGCAGTGCAGGGCCTGGGAATGCTCGCAGCGGCTCCCTGTGAAGCCAGACAGACAGACGCACACGTAGCTGCTGCTCTCCGAGTCCTGGCACTGGCCCCCGTTCTGAAAATCAGCCCCCAGAGGTCAGGCCAAGGACGCCCCCGTCCTTCCCCCTTCCCTGCAGGACTCAGGGCAGCGGGGGGGGGTGTGGGCATGGCAGGACCTGGCAGGGCCGGTCCCGGCACGTGGGGCAGTGGGAGATGCCGTGCGCAGTGAGGTTGAGGTCCTGGAAGATGGTCTCCTCACCCTGGATACGCAGCTCCCGGACACAGCCTGGGGGCAGAGGGCAGCATGAGCCAGGGGGCCACAGCCACCGTGCCCCGCAGGCTCCTGGGGGTCCTGCCTTACCTACGAAGCCGCTGCTCAGCCCTGCGTGGGGGATGGCACCGTAGTCGGGGTACCCGCCCAGGTACAGCTCCTCGTTCAGGTCCAGACCCTGGAACTTGCCCTGGGAAGGTGGGGGCGTCAGGGGCGGCCGACGGCCTGGGCAGGGGCGGGCAGGGGGCCAGGAGTGGGGGGCCTGAGTGGGGGGCTGTTGTCTCACCTGGGAGGTCCCATTAACTGGGGCCAAGTTGCCCACAATCAGTGAGCCCTGGGTGAGGCTGCGCAGCAGGGTCACCGTGTGGAACTGGCCCAGGGCCAGTGGGGTGGGGTGGCGGATGGTGGCCATGCCAGAGCCTGCATCAAACCTGCTCGGTGGGCAGCGCCAGGGTGGGAGAGAGGAGGCACAGGGCTTGTAAGGAGGGCTGCTCCCGTTCGTGCCTTGTGGGCACTGCCCCAGCCAGCCTGTCCCTGACCTTCCCCAGGTCTTCCTCCCTCTGCCCTTTCCCCAGAGCTGTACCCAGCAGCCCAGAGCTCTGGCTGTTTCCCGGCTCCAGGACCCACAGCCCGGCCTGGCTTCACTGCTCTGGGTCTTTCCGAGACGACCTTGCCTTTCTGCTCATGGCTGATGGGAATGGGTCTGCAGGACCAAGGTCCTGTATCTAGTCCCCGGGGAAGAGGGGGTGGGTCTCACCGGAACTCGGGTCTTCCGCCCACGAGGCCGAAGGAGATGAAGTCGGGCTGCCTGCTGGCCAGGCTGGTGGGGCTCCCCGGGGTCCGCTTCTGCCCGTTGTACAGCAACATCCCTGGGCAGGGACAGCGTGTCACCACAGGCTCCCGTCACACCCGCCTTCCAATGACCCAAGCTCCAGCGCCTTTCTAAGGGACTCCGGCCCCTCCTCTTGGCACACCTCATGTGGCCAGAGACCTCTTACGGGATGGGGGCCCTACACTGAAGGCCCTGCTGCGAGCCGCTAGACAGACAGAAAGTGGCGTCATGCACCCGGGAGCTTCCACCTGCAGGAGGCGAGGGACCAGAGACTCACCCGAGTAGAGAAGGAGGCCTGGCCAGGGAGAGTCAGAGACCCGGGAGAGACGAGAGAGAGAGGAGGAATGGGTGAGAGACGGCAGAGGGAGAAGGAGCAGATGGGACAGGAGGGCTGGGCACTGAGGTGCCAATGGCAGAGAGGCTCTGGGAGGCGGGGATAGCGCAGAGGAGGAGCGGTGAGGAGAAGAGGCAGGAGAGGGTCCCCAGAGCAGGGGCCTGTGGCCTGGGGGCTCTGCAGGTGTCCCCTCCCAGAGGGCAGGACTGGGGGCTGCCACAGGTCCCCTCCCAGGCCAGCCCCAGACCCACTCTCTGCTGCTCACCATCAGCTGAGTCTGGCCGGAAGGTGACCTTGACCTCAAACTTCCGGTAGGCATCCTTGATGGTGGGCAGCGGCAGGAAGGAGTGGGGGGTCTGGGTGAAGTAGGGCACCACCCGCTCTGTGGGCACAGAGTACGTTAGGATGCCCTCCAGGGAGTGGGTGGGGCACTGCCCACTCTGGGGGCTTTGTCTCACCTGGGACCTGCAGATGGGCAAAGGCTTTGACCTTGCCCTGGCGGTTGGTGGCGGTGCAGACGTAGGTGCCTGCGTCCTGGGGCCGCACGGAGGGCAGCACGAGCATGTGGTTCTCCAGGCGGCTGTCGGGGGGCAGGTGGCCGTCCACCTGCAAACGTGGCCCTGAGCACCTGGCCTTGGCCATGTCTGCTGTGGGTGCCTCCCGTCCTGCCCCAGGCCCACTTCACTCGCCAGGTATGTGCCAGGCCCTGGGGGTGCTGAGATGGCCAGTGAGGCAGGCCCCGCCCAGGTCCCTGCCCAGCATTTACCTTGCTCCAGGTGATGTCAGGAGTCGGGTAGCCGGAGGCCATGCAGGGGAAGACAGCCAAAGAGCCGGCGGGCACACGCACCTCTGGTGGTGTGGAGATCTGGGGCAAGGCTGGGGGGAAAGACACGGCCATTGGCATGATGACAGCCACTGTGTGGGTGCCCAGCCTGGGCCCTGCCCCATCTAATCCTCACACCATCCCTTGAGGGAGGAGCCATGTCTGTTTTACAGATGAGGGGACTGTTTAGGACTGTTTGTTTAGTCGGGGCTCACTGAGTTGTTAGCACCTCGCCATTGCTGAGGCTGGCTTTGAACCCAGATCCTCCCTTCACGGCCTCCCGAGAAGCTGGGATTGCAGGCGTGTCCCACCAGGCCCGGCTCCTCCTTTTCCCTCTTGATGCCCGTGGCATAGCTCTCTCCAGGGGCCACTCCCTTTCACCCCCTCCTGCCACCATTCGTGATGAAATCTGCCCCTTAAATATGGCCACAGGAAAATTCGCAGGACAGCGGGGAGGAGGAGCAAGGCAGGCCGGGTGGGGGGTGGAGGGCAGCGTCAGGAGCTGGCTCCGCTCGAGCCCCACCAAGGACCCTGCTGGCCCTCACCTTGCACAAGCAGCAGCACATGGGACTGGGTGGTGCCGGCCGCGTTGGTGGCGGTGCAGCGGTACTGTCCTGCGTCGGCCAGCTCCACGTGGGCGATCCTGATGACATTTCCGCTCTGCACGATGCCAGGCCGCAGGTGTCCTCCAACTTTGCTCCACGTCACCTGAGGCTTGGGGTCACCCAGTGCCAGGCACTCAAACTCAACGGCATGGCCGACCACCACGGTCTGCACAGTGGTGCGGATGTTGATGAGCACCGAGGGCAGCGCTGGGGAGCAGGAGGTAGAGGTCAGCTGGCCGGGGAGGCCACAGACCGCCTGGAACAGGAGAGCTGGACCCTGGCCATTCCTCCCTCTCAGCATGTGCTTTCCCCCATTCCATGATGCTGCTCTTTGTGTGTGTGTGTGTGCTACTATCCTGTGGCCACTAGGCCCACCCCGTCCTCCTTCCTCCCTTGCAATCTGAACAAGGGCCCCTATGCCATGCTGGCCTCCAGCAAGCAGGTCCCATGATTTACTTCATCCTTTCACATGAAGGTCGGGACTTCCCTACCTTGGACAACCAGCTGGGCACTGGCCTGGGCCTGTCCCCAAGGCCCATGGGCCTGGCAAACATATGTCCCTTGGCAGCTCTGGTCTAGGTTGTGGATTCTGTAAGGAAAAAGGATTGAGGGAGTCACACCCATTGAGGATGCTCCGAGATCACAGAGAGTTCAGGGCTCACCCTGATAGGAAGCCAGGGCCGGCTGCCAGCCCCCCTGTGAGCACTAGAGGTAAGCAGGTGGGGCACCACCCCACTGCAGACAAAGGCCTTCTTCCCTCGATCATGGGTCCATGTCTGGCCCCACAGCTATTCTCCTTCGTCCACTAATACCAGTGCAGCTGGGCCCGGTGGCGCACGCCTGTAATCCCAGTGGCTCGGGAGCTGAAGCAGGAGGATCACTGAGTTCAAGGCCAGCCTCAGCAAAAAAAGAAGGCACTAAGCAACTCAGTGAGACCCTGTCTCTAAATAAAATACAATATAGGGCTGGGGATGAGGCTCAGGGGTCGAGTGCCCCTGAGATCAATCCTCGGTACCCACCCTCCTAAAAAAAAAAAACAAACCACCAGTGCAGACATGGACCACCGCTACTGGGGGTCTCCCAAACGTCAAGCGAGGGCTAGGTGCTGGAGAGGACGTGTTTCCGTCTTCTACAACTCACTCTTGGGCTGAGAACACTGAGGCTCAGAAAGGTAAAGTGACTTGCGCAAGGACATTGCTTTGGGTTGAGGGCCCAGCTGAGTCGTGGGCTGGGGGGTCTGAGCCCTACCCTGACCCACCAGCACTCACCGGAGCACCCCATCCTGCACGCTGTGGCCAGGAGGCAGCTGGCCCCCTTCCTTGAACCAACGAAGCTGGGTGCCCGCGTCGCTGGGCACGGCACAGTGGAACTCAACACTGGCCCCAATGCTCTTGGTCTCCAGCTGAGGGGTGACCTGCACGGTGGGCGTGGATCCTGCCAGGACATGGGTGGCAAGCTGAGAGCCTGAGGGACCTGAAGAGATAGGTGCAAGGTTCTGTGGGTCTCGCTCTGTGTGGGAGGCAGGTGCCTGGCCCTAGGGTGCGGAGGGCAGCCCCAGGCAAGGGCGAAAGGAGTCTGACATCTTTTTTTTTTTGTACAAGGGATTGAACCCAGAGGCACTTAACCACTGAGCCACACCCCAGACCTTTTAACTTTTTATTATTTATTTTTTTGTGGTGTTGGGGATCAAACCCAAGGCCTTGGGCAGCGAGGCAAGCACTTTACCAACTGAGCTGTATCCCCAGCCCTCATTTTTTATTTTGATAGAGGGTCTCACTGAGTTGCTTAGGGCCTTGCTAAATTGCTGAGGCAGGCCTTGAACTCCCAAACCTCCTGCCTCAGGATCCCAAGCCATAGCGCCCGGCTAGGAGTCAGACATCTTAAGGAAGGATGACAAAGACTGTTCCGGCTGTAGCTCAAAATAAGAGATCAGGGACGTGCCATGGTGAAGACTCTGGTGTGTGCGATGGGCGGGTGTGGAAGCATCGCCTCCATTTCCTAAGGGCCCCACGAGCTGTGGGCAGCTGGTGCCTCTCTAACTGCCTACGTGGAGGCATTTCCTGTCCACCTTACCATCTGTCTCTTACCAACTGACCAAAGAGAGGGCCTGTCTGAGACCCCAGTCCAGGCCCTTGGCTAGTGGGCTTCATGCCCTGCTGTTTCTAGAAGTCCGGGCCCAGAAGCCCTCGCCTGGCTTTGCAGGACTGGGCCTAACACTGTTGTCCCTCTCAAGCATGTTCCCAGTCTGCCTGGGCCCTGTGGTGGACAAACCCAGGGCAGCTGGGATGAGTGGGTCCAGGTCCTGCCCTGAGCGCCTGGCGTCTGGCAGGTGATTGGCTGGGGTATTTGCGGCTGGGGTATTTGCGCACACGGTAGCTTCCCCTGCCAGAGCAAGTCAGTGCCAGGGGAGGGAGGTGGTGATGGAGGCGGGCGGGGCTGAGAACACAGGGCACTTTCTGGAGCAGGCAAGCCCGGGTGCGCCCCGGAGAACCGGGGAGAGCAGGGTGCTGTGGTGGGGGAAAGGAGGGAGGCCTTGGTACCCCATGGGCCCAGAGGCAAGCTGGCTCCTTTCCGTCCACCCGGAGCCCTGCTGCTTACCTTGGACAAGCACCTGGGCAAAGGCCTCTGCTGAGCCCACCCTGTTAGCGACCTGGCAGCGGTAGCGGCCAGAGTCCTCAGGGCCTGTGGCCTCAAACTGCAGCAGCTCGTTCCTGGCGGCTGCACTCTGGGGGAGGGTGCCGTCCGCGCGGCTCCACTGGAAGCTGAGCGGGGGCGTGCCGTGGGCCAGGCACTGGAGCCGCACGGTCTCCCCTGCCCGCACGGACGCGTGCTCCGGGACGACGGTGGCATACGGTGGGCCTGGAGTCAGGGGACACAGAGGTGGGGGGAGGACAGGTCAGGATGGCAGCAGGGAATTGGGCCTGGGTGACAAAAGGCCAGGGAAGCCCAGAGGACAGGATGGAGAGTACCGGGGCCAGGTGGGGACATGGATGGCAGCAAGGGCAGTCTCTGAGGTCCTCCGGATGGGAGGGGGTCCCGGGGCTCTGTGGGGGACTTTGTCCCCACACCATGCACAGGGGAGCCCAAGGGGAGGGGATGAGCGTCTTACTCTCCACGTGCAGCATGATGGTGGCCTCGGCATGCCCTGCAGGGCTGGTGGCATTACAGATGTACTGGCCCGAGTCCTGCTGGGCCACCCTGGGGATGACCAGCGTGTCGCCTTCCAGCCGGTGCTGCCAGGGCAGGGGGGAGCGCAGCTTGGACCAGTGGATGGTGGGCGTGGGGCTGCCTGTGGGGTAGAGCAGAAGATGGCCTTGGTTGGACTGGTGGAGGGTGACCTGCCCTCCACGGGGCCACTAAATGGGTGCTTCCTGGCCACAACGTCATCTTCAGATCCCACGTGTCTACAACCCAGGCCCTAGGGCACCTCTGCTGTGCCAGCCCCGTGGGCCACCCCTGGCCGCACCTGTGGCTGAGCAGCGCAGTGTGGCCGTGTGCCCAGCTTCCAAGGTCAGCTCAGCTGCTTCAACTTGGACCTGGGGGGCCCCTGGGGCCGCAGTGCCCGAGTCCACGATCACCTCCACACGCTTCTGTGCTGTGCCCAGGGCGTTCTGGGCGAGGCACACGTAGGTGCCCGCGTCGGAGGGTTTTACCGATGCAATCTAGAGGAAAGCAAGGAGGTGGCACGGGGGCTTTGAGCTGCCCCCCCCCCCCCCCGCTTTTAGCTCCTCCGCCTGGCTACTGAGGGCCACGAGTCCATCCGTCCACCCGCGCGGCCATCATCCACCCCTTCATCAGCCCTCCACCCTCCATCCCTCTTTTCCTCTTTCCCCGCCCCTCTCCTCCCCCATCGCCTGTCTACCCACCACCCACCCATGGCCTCCCTGCTGGCCTCTCCACCTGCTCCACCCTCCTGCCTCTCCTCCAGGCAGCTGCTCTGGACCAGGTCCTGGACGGGGCTCAGGCCAAGACGGATCATCCCTGACCTCACCTTCAGCACCGTGTGGCTGTCCACCAGCCCATAGGTCCGAGGCTCCAACTTGGCAGGAGTGCCCACCCGGGTCCAGCGGGCAGAGGAGCGGGGCTCCCCGGTGCTGATGCACTCCAGGATGACGTCCTTCCCCACCTTCACTCGCACGGGTCCCTCGGGGAGCACGGACACCGTGGGCGGCCCTGCCCAGAGGAAAGACCGTCGCTGACCCACAGCAGGACTGGGCCAATGTGCACGTCCCAGTCCCCGCTGGGAAACGCTGGGTGAGCACCCGTCTCCTCTCCACTCTGGTGCTCAGAGAGGGAGGAGGGCCAACAGGGAGCCAGAGCGCGGGGCCGCGCCCCCTCACCGTGCACGCTGAGGTTCACCACACTCTGGGCCACGCCGTAGGCGTTGGAGGCCACGCAGCGGTAGGCCCCGTGGTTGCTGGGCCGGCTGCCCACGATGGTGATGGTAGAGCCGTCGGCGCTGATGTGGACATTGTCTGTGGGTTGTGTTGATGGAGGAAGCCAGTGAGGTTCGACATGGTCCTCCTCCTGCCTTGGCATTGCCAGCTGCTGTCCCTCTGCCCCATGTCCCCAACCTCTCAGGCCTGGGTATGTGACACAGAGTCCCAGATGGCAGAAGATAAAAGTCCTTGGAGACTCACCACAGGCCACACGTGGACATGGTGTGGGCGTGGTCTTCTGCCCCTGCCCTCTCACCCGGGCCCTCAAGCCTGCCCGCAGCCCCGCTGCCCCTTCACTCACCCTCCAGCTGCTGGTTCCGGGTCTTCCACTCCAGGCTGATGGGGGCCGCCCCCTCGTGGATGAGGCACTTAAAGCTGGCGTCCTGGCCCTGCTGCACGGTGCTGCTGGGTGGGTCGATGGAGATGACGGGGCTCCGGAGACCTGAGCCCGGGGGGCAAAGGGCCGGGCTCAGTGGGCAGGGCTGACGCGACAGGGAGGCCCCACCTCAGCTCCAGGGTCTTCCCCCCCTTGCCTGCAGCATCCCCCACACTCACGGTAGGAAGACCCCGCACTGGGGACGACTGTGACCATGAAGGAGGCTTCCTGCTCAGGACCTGCGCTGCCGGCCACTCGGCACACGTACTCACCCGAGTCAGCCGGGGAGACGTGGTGGATCCGCAGCTGGGAGCCATGGGTCTGTCAGCGGGAGGAGAGGGGACCCATCAGGCCAGGTGGCTTGAGACAGGGGTCATTGCCAGCACAGGTCTTCCTGAGGACCTCAGGAGCTCGGGTGCCAGCTGAGCTCAGGGCTGAGCAAAGCTTCATTCCCAGAACCCCAGGGGCCAAGGGGCTCACTCCACAGAGGGGACAACTGAGGCTCAAGGGACGAGCAGCTGCAGGGCTGGGAGAAAAGTCCAGGTCCCTCAGGAATTCGTCCCCCTGGTCCCCTAGCAGGGGGTTTGCATGAGGTCTAGGAGCAGAAGGAAAATACAGGGTGGATCTTCCTGCATTAGGGTCCCCCCCAGCCGGGCCCCATACCTGGTGCCGGGCGGGCAGGCTGCCCCCTCGCTTGTGCCACGTGACCTGGGCATGGGCCTGTCCGGGCACCACGCAGTTCAGATCCAGGGTCTGCCCCTCGGCCACGTGTGAGGAAGAGGCCTCGATGTACATGGGCTGGGCCAGTCCCGGGGCTGTGGGGACAGGGGCCGGTGAGAGGCAGGCTCCTGGGGTAAAGCCGGGACCTTTGGTGGTGACACAAGGCCACTGGTCTCCTGGAGGTGCTGAGGCTTGCAAGTGAGTGACAGAGCTGAGCCACATTGACCTAAGAAGGTCCCCCTTCCCTGGGGACTTATGAGCCGGGCCAGGGCTCACTCCCGCTGGTTAAGGGGAGGGGCTGGAGGACGGCCAGGGCCCAGGGACACAGAAGCAGCTGTGGAACTTCACCAGTCACATCTGGGAACACCTGGCTAGGCTTGGTCTTCAGCCATAGAAAACCCCATGATCCAGGTGACAGTAAGAGCCCTGAGGGGACTGGGGTGTAGCTCCCTGGTAGAGCGCTCGCCTCATGGGTGAAGCCCTGGTTTGATCCCCAGTAACAATGACCAAAAAAGAGTCCTGAGGTGAGATCAGGAGCAAAACCAGGAGGAGCCCCGAGCCCGGGCCTCGCCATCACCCACTGCTCCTTGTCACTCACCAGGAATAGGGCCTGGGCTGGAAGCCTCAATCGTGACCAGGACAGAAGCCTCCAGGGTCCCCGAGCTGCCTGTCACTTGGCATGAGTACTCCCCAGAGTCGGCAGGAGACACGTGGTTCAGCCTCAGTAGGTGGCCGTGGACCTGGCCGACGTGGGGTGAAAGTGCACGGAAGAGCTGGGAATGGTGGCCCAGGCCTCCCACTGCCACACCCTCTTGTCCCTGCGTCCCCTGGCTGCCATGCAGGCTGCCTCCGACTGAAGGTGACTCCCTTTGACTTTAGTGTGGCATTTAGGTTTCTGAGGACACTCTTTCTGGCAGGAGGAAGTAAGAATCAAGAGTAGGTAGTGTCCTTTTGTAATGTGCACCAAGGTGCAGGGTGGAGGTGGTGGCCGGGTCACTCCCAGCCTCTTCTCAACCCCCCGACTCCAGCCATCTGTTACCCCACCCTGAAACCCCCGTGGCTGGGGCCACCTTTCCTTCAGGGTCGGGTTTGGGAAGGACCGCTGGGGAGGGTGGCGCGTCCTGTTTTTCCCAGATTTCATACCTGGTGCCGGGCGGGCAGGCTGCCCCCTCGCTTGTGCCATGTGACCTGGGCATGGGCCTGCCCGGGCACCACGCAGTTCAGATCCAGGGTCTGCCCCTCGGCCACTTGAGAGGAAGAGGTCTCTATGCGAATGGGTGGGGTGCCTCCTGGGAGAGGGGTATAGCAAGGGGTCAGTGAGCAGGGGCTCCCACCCCTGTGTCCTTAACCCCTCTCCTGGGTGCCCTGATGTGTAGATCAGAGGCCACCTGCAGAGTGACTTTTCTACCTTCCCACTACATTTGGGTCTTGAGTAGGTGGCCTAGCCACCCTGGGGATGGGCGAGCCTGGAGATAAAGGTACCACTTTCTGGCCCCATTCCCATCTCCCAGGACCACTAGGGTCAGGGCTAAAGCCAGGAGCCCCCACATAGATCACTAACAGTTCCCAAACTCCAACAGTGTGTCCCTAAGAACATAGACCCCGGGGCCAGCCTGCCTGGGTCAAGCTCCTGTTCAGACACAAGGATCTTTAGAAAGCTGCTTCCCCTCGGTCTCAGCTTCCCATCTATATGTGGAGAAAGCACTCGTGCCCACCTCAGAGGGCTACGGGGAGGATGGGATAGTTACTGTGTGTCTGTCCACCAGGGCCAGCAGACAGCGAGCCGCCCACTCAGCCATGCACGCCCGGTCACGATTTCCGCTACTCTGTGGGCCCCTGGGCTATTAATTACTGTATACTCTCCTTTCAATGGACTCACTCTAAAAACCTTCATTACTTAGCCCCGTTATAGGCTCTGATTTCCATGAAGTCACGACAGGTTTGATGTGTCACATTTTTTCCTAATGTACGGCTCCCGTAAGATGTCTATTGGATCACCCACAAAGTCACCCAGGGCTACCCCAGAGGCACAGGTCCAGGTGTTAGGGGACTCCCTGGATGATTAATAGTTAGAGAGTAGAGAGCAAGAGCTCTACCACCCCCTTCACAATTGGGAACAGTGACATGTGAAAAGGCAAAGTCCCTTGGGTGACATCTCCAAGTAGGGACAGAGGAGCTAGGACTCAGGCCAACTGATGCCAGCTCCAAAGCCTGTGCTCTCAGGTCCTTGACATGGATGGGACCTCCCCCAGCCTCAGCCTGGCCCCTTGTCCTGGACCGCGGGAGTGGGCAGGAGGCAGGAGTCTGGGAGCGGAGGGCCGCTGGTCTTCAGATGCCCCCCTTTGCTGTTCCCCTCTCCACCCCCCTCCCTCTTCCAGGCTCCCAGGCCCCTCAGGCACCCTCACCAGGGACATGGCCGGCACTAGATCCAGAGGCCTGGATGGTGACCAGGACTGAGGCCTCTTGGGTGCCAGAGCTGCCCAGCACACGGCACACATACTCGCCCGAGTCAGCAGGGGACACCTGGTGCAGCCGGAGCCTGGAGCCGTAGGCCTGGGCAGGGCAGGACAGAGAGAAGGACCACCGGCCTAAGAGGCCAATCTGGAATCCTTGAAGGCCTCTAGCCCAGGTGGACGTGGCACCCCCCTGGGGCTCCCAGGCCTCTCTCTCGGGCAGAGTTAGCCAGGGCCCAGCCTGTGGTCAGCCAACAGTCCTCCCACCGTTTCCTGCCGACCCATACCTGATGGTGAGTGGGCAGGCTGCCCCCACGCTTATGCCACGTGACCTGGGCATGGGCCTGCCCAGGGACCACACAGTTCAGCTCCAGGGACTGCCCTTCGGCCACATGTGAAGAAGACGACTCAATCCTGATGGGCACAGCACTGCCAGAGACTGGGGACACAGGAGCAGCAAGTCAGGGCTTGGCCAAGGTCAGATTTGAGAAGAGGTTGTGGGATCCGTGGCCCCGGGATGGTCTCAGTTAACACTTACTAAGGACTCCCAGTGTGCCAGCCCTGTCCCCAGCCCTTATCCGTATTAACTCATTTAACCCTCACAAAGTCACATGCTAAGAGTGGCACTAGTCACATGTGGCTATTGAACACTTGAAAGGTTAGAAAAAAATTTTTTTTTTTGTAATGCTGGGGATTAAACCCAGAGCCTTATGCCTGCTAGGCAAGCACTCTACCACTGCGCTATGTCCCCGGCCCCTTTTCAAGTTTTATTTAAGTTCTCGTTAAGTTGCCCAGACTGGCCTTGAATTTGCAATCCTCCTGCCTCAGCCTCCCAAGTAGCTCGGATCACAGGTGTGCATCAGTGAGGTTGGAATGATCCATGTCCCCAGTTACCTGGCCTGGAGACTGAGGCAGAGAGGGAAGAGTAACTCCCTCCGTTCAGGAGTAATGCACCTGGTGATCTGACTCAGGCACCTTTGTGCAGAGCCCTACACTGACCACTACCCAGGTCTGAGGACTCTAATCACAGGGGACGCTGTCACTGGGTCCCACCATCTCTCTCCTGGGACGAGGGTTTTCATCAGACTCACCAGAAGGGATGCTGGGGCCAGGGGCGACCGAGACCATGATGGAGGCCTCCTGGGCTTCGATGTTGTTGTTGGCTCGGCACACGTACTCGCCAGAGTCGGCCACGGTCATTTGGTGCAACCGCAGGCGGGAGCCGTGGGCCTGGGGGGGAGGAGAGAGGGGAGAGCTGAGGAGCCCGTGGTCACAGCTGGCTCGGGCTTCCCTCATGAGGCACGTGGAGGCTGCCTTCGGTCTACCCCAGGCCCAGGACGCGAGAGTGTTTAGGGCCTAGAAGAAGAAGCCCCTGAGCGGTCCCTGTGGTGCCCACCGCAGGGGACCAGGGCTCCACTTCCACCTCCGGGGCCTCGTCTACCTGGTGTCTGGAGGGCAGGCTGCCCCCACGCTTGTACCACGTGATGGTGGCCTGGGTCTGTCCAGCCACCACGCAGTTCAGATCCAAGGTGTCTCCTTCCACCACCGAGGGGGACGAGGACTCAATCCTGATTGGCGGGGAGACACTGGGCACTGGGGACAGAATGGGGAGGACGACACCAAGTCAGACAAGGCCGATGGGGCTGGGGACCTCTGTGCCACGTGCCCAGGCCCCTGCCCTCCACGCTCTCACCGTGGGAGGAGCCGCTGCCCTGGATGGTGACGATGAGCGAGGTCTCCCGGGAACCAGCCCCGTTACTGACGTGGCATACGTACTCGCCAGAGTCGGCGGGAGTCACCTGAGGGATCCGCAGCCGGGAGCCCACGATCTGGAGGGAGCAGGTGACAGTGGGTGGGGATTCTAATCACGGGGGATGCTGTCACCTGGGTCCCAGGCCCCTCAACTGGCCTGCCTCTGGGCCTGGGGGAATGGCAGCTCTAGTGTCTGTACTGTTCTCCTCGTCACCTCTCCAGAAGGCCTGCGGAGGCCCTGGCAGGGGTGCCCGAGCTGTCATATGTGTCGTCATTCAGCATGTCTGCCTCCCTTTATTTATTTTATTTTTAATTTGTTGTTGTTGTTGGTACCAGAGATTGAACTCAGGGTCCCTAACCACTGAGCAACATCCCCACCATTTGTATTTATTTTTAAAAATTTTAAGACTGGCCTCTAACTTGTGGTCCTCCTGCCTCAGCCTCCTGAGTCACTGGAATTATAGGCATGTGGGCCTGGCCTGTTCCCTTTAGACAATGAGCAGAGAGTTGTTTTATTTTACTGGGATCTGTGGTGCCAGGTCAGGGCTTGGCCTGCAGCGGCCTCTCGGGGAGGCTCAGTGGGTGAGCAGACCCACTGAGTTGGCAGGATGCACTTCTGTGTCTCAGAGGACTACGCCATCACAGACGCTCCATGTTTGTTGAATGACTAGATGAGCACAGAGGGGTACCGAGAGCCTGCCTCCCTGGCCCTCCCACCAGGGCAGTGTCCTCCTTGCCGCTGGCTCCGAACCTGGTGCCGGCTGGGTAGGCTGCCTCCGCGTTTGTACCAGGTGATGGTGTGGGGAGCTTGGCTGGCGACCAGGCAGTTGAGGTCCAGCATGTGACCATTGGCCAGCGAGGCCGAGGAGGACTCGATTCGCACGGGGTACACCACGCCCTGGGCTGGGAGGACAGGTGCAGGGCAGGGTGTGGGAGCTGCTGAGGAGGCGATGGGCCCCTAGCAAGCCCCCACCATTTGCCATGATCTCTAAGACACTTACGGTGGGAGGGGCTGGGGCGCTGCTGGATGGTGACAAGGACTGAGGCTTCCTGGGTGCCCGAGCCACTGACCACACGGCACACATACTCCCCAGAGTCGGCTGGGGTCATCTGGGGCAGCCGCAGCCTTAAGCCATGCACCTGGGAGGAGGGGCAGGTCAGAGGCGGTGGGCTCAGAGCCGGGTCCTGGGCTTGTGGCCAGGCTCCCGTTTCCTTCCCTCACTCCCTCATGGCCCAGCCAGGGAGACGCACCACTGAGGATGGGCACTGGGGACAGAGGGGCGAGGACGACACAATTCCTGCCCCAGAGGTGGCACAGGGTCTAACCTGCCACCTCGCCCACGTCAGCGACTGCAGACACTTGGCACCAGGGGGACGTGGGGAACAGCATTTGCTGACACGCTCAGGGTAGGTGAAGCACAGCATGAGCTCATTTGGCCGATGAGGACATTAAAGATCAGAGAAGTCAAGAGACTGGCCTGAGTCACTCGGCAGACAAGCAGCCGAGCAGTAATGAACCTGAACATGCCTGAATTCAAAAACCATGATCCAGGGCTGGGGCTGGGGCTCAGTGGTAGAGCGCTGGCCTAGCACGTGTGAGGCACTGGGTACAATCCTCAGCACCACATAAAAATAAAAAATAAGAATACTGTGTCCACTTAAAACAAAACAAAAAACTGAGATCCTGTGTTTTTTGCTGTAGTGCTGGGGGTGGAACCCAGGGCCTCACCCACGCTAGGCAAGTGCTCTGCCCTGAGCCGCAGCCCGATCCTGAGCCTATGCTCTTTATTCTGCAGTTAGGAGCACCTTCCAGAACCCTCCTCCACCCCCCAGGTCCTACCTGGTGTCGTGAGGGCAGGCTGCCCCCGCGCTTGTGCCACGTGACCTGGGCGTTGGCCTGCCCAGTAACCAGGCAGTTCAGATCCAGGGTCTGCCCTTCAGCCACGTGGGAAGACGATGACTCGATTCGTACCGGCGGGGTGACCCCGAGTGCTGGTGATAGAGGACAGAGGGTCAGCCCCCCGCAGGACGTGAGAAGAGACAGCGTGAGTGGGGACAGGGGCCACTAGTTTCTTGGGAGGTGTGGACTGAGGCTTTTGGCCTGATCCTGCACAGCTAGGACAGGGAGTCCCTGAGTGGGCCCCCAGCCCTGTCCCCTCTATTGCCACTCACCAGGCACGGAGCTCTCAGGCTCAATGGTGACCAGGACGGAGGTTTCCAGGGGCACGGAGCCGCCCACCACTCTGCACACGTACTCGCCGGAGTCAGCAGGTGACACCTGGTGCAGCCTCAGCAGTGAGCCGTGGGCCTGTTGGGAGTGCGGGGTGAGGTCAGGGGGCGCCCCCGCAGCACCCCCAGAGCCCTGGAGAACTGGGGGCAGGTGAGCACCCCGCCAAGCCCATGCCCAGGTGGAGCGGCTCTCAGGTTGAGATGCACCCGCAGCGGCCACGCCGAGAATCCTGAGCGGACACCTCCTTCCCCCTTAGAGGCCTCCTGTCCTCGGGGGACCCCAAATTCTAAAATACAGTGTGGCCACAGGCCATGGCACTGAGGTGGGAGCAGTCCCTCGGGGCACTTCTACGCACTGGGCCCTGAGAGCTCTGCGATTGAACTTGATCCTTGGGGTAAGTGTCACCATCACCATGTTACAAATGCTAGAACTACGGCACCGAGAAACGAGCACCAGCCTAAGGTCACAAGTGGTGGACCGGGACTCACGCATGGGCTGGTGGGGCCTCGACTCTGGGTTCTAACCCTGCACAAGGTCAGGGGGGGCCAGGGCTTCAGTCCTCCTCAGCACCCGGTGCTACCCTCTTCTCGGCCCCTCTAGCCTCCTGGCTCTTTACCTGGTGCCGAGCGGGCAGGCTGCCCCCGCGCCTGTGCCATGTGACCTGGGCGTGGGCCTGCCCCGGCACCACGCAGTTCAGATCCAGGGTCTGCCCCTCGGCCACTTGGGAGGAGGACGACTCGATGCGGATGGGCGGGGTGCTGCCGGGGGCTGGGGAAGAGATCCCTGGTCACTCTAGTCCTCTTTAACGCTGCCCGGGCCTCTCCTCTTTCTGCATCCCAGCCCGGCCTGGGGGCCCCACTCACGATAGGCAAAGTTGGCCCCTGGGGTCCCGGTTACTGTGACTGTGATAGAGGCCTCCACGCCATTGCTGGCCCGGCAGACATATTCTCCTGCATCCCCTGGAGAGGCGTGGAAGATGTAGAGGCGGGAGCCACGGACCTGGGCGGCCATGGGAGGGAGCATAAGATGGGGCTTCCAGAGCCCAGGAGATCCCCAGCCCTGGGCTAGGAACTGCTGGCCCCCCAGTCCAGGAGCCAGGACCCCACCCCCCACCACCCAAGGCCCCTTCCCATGTGCCAGGAGCTGAGTACCTGGTGGCGGGCCGGGAGGCTCCCCTCACGCTTGTACCACGTGACCTGGGCATGGGCCTGCCCTGCCACCACGCAGTTGAGGTCCAGGGTCTGCCCCTCGGCCACTGAGGGGGATGAGGACTCAATCCTGACGGGCGGGCTGGGTCCTGGGGCTGTGGGGACAGGGTGAGGGTAGCAGATGCTCCCCTGGAGGGAGGACCTGTGCCACCCGGAGCTGCCTCTGCCTTGGGCCTTGGGGGGTTTGGTGGCCTGGATTGGAAATGCTCAGCTCAGTAACGGAAACAGCAGAGCAGGCCTTGGGCTGAGCCTGGCGGAGCAGAGAGAGGAGGCGAGATGAGGAGGGAGCCGAGCTAGGAAAGGAGGAGGCAGGAGCAGAGGCCCAAGCAGTGACGGGCACAGAAAGCCGGTCAAGGAGACGGCAGGTCACTCAGGCAAGCGGCCTTCCTGGGCAGGCCCCGAGGCCAGCTCCAGGTGGGCTCCCTCCCGAGCTGGCAGCAGGAGTCACTTGGACCCCACACCCCTGGGTGGCCCTCAGCCCCGTCCAGCACTCAGTGTCATCAGTCACTCACCAGGGATGGAGCCAGCGGGCTCGATGGAGACCAGGACCGAGGCCTCCGAGCGCTCCGAGCCGAGGACCACGCGGCACACGTACTCTCCCGAGTCCACAGGGGACACTTGGTGCAGCCGTAAAAGCGAGCCGTGGGTCTGCGTGCAGAGGAGGGTGGGTTGGGAGGAGACCAGTGCAGCCCCGTCCACCCCCTCTTGCAGGCTGGACCTGGGGGCTGTCGTACCTGGTGCCGGGCAGGGAGGCTGCCCCCACGCTTGTGCCACGTCACCTGGGCCTGCCCCGGCACCACGCAGTTCAGATCCAGGGTCTGCCCCTCGGCCACTTGGGAGGAGGAGGACTCGATGCGGATGGGCAGGGTGCTGCCTGGGGCTGGACACGGGGTGGATCAGAGGCCTGGCGCCTGAGCCTCAGCCTGCAGCCCTGGGCAGAGGGCCATGGCGGAAGACCAGGCCCCAGCTTGGGAGGGCTGACTCGGGGCTTCTCTGCAGATGGAACCACATCTTCTAGCTCCTTCCCTCCCTGTCTCCAGCTTGGGGCTCCAGGTCCATCTACCACTGTGACCTCTTATGACGAGGTGGTAGGAAGCCACCCAGAGATGCGGAGAAGTCACGTGACTGTCTTCTCCAGAGCGTTCACCACGTGATCTAAGCGCTTTCCACTGACACTGTCTCATCTAAACCACACCACAAACTAGTAGGTAATCTAGGAATGGTACCGTCTCCATTTCACAGATGAGGAAACTGAGGTCCCCAAAAGGAAAAGAACTGGTTCAAGGCTGATAAAGAGACGAGTCAGGACTAGAAGCCAGGTCAGCCCAACTCCCAGCTCAGAGTTCTGCCCTGAGGCGCTGCTGGCTGCCAACCTCCTGCAATGGCACCATCACTGTGGTCCAGCCAAGCTGGATCAGCCCTCTGGCCCTGGCCACTGCTCCCTGAGCAGGCAGCAGAGGGCCAGAGCCTGCCTGAGATGTCCCCTGTCCCAATGCCACTGAAGATCACATCTTCCCCGGAGTATCAGGGAGCCCAGGGCTCAGCCGTCCTGGCTGGCGGTCCCCAGCTTCTCACCTAGGGTGTGGTTGGGGCCCGAGTGGGTGCTGTGGGGGACGGAGACCATGATGGAGGCCTCCTTGGGGCCCGACTCCATCTCCACTCTGCAGACATATTCTCCAGAGTCCGCTGGTGAAACCTGGGGGATCCTCAGCCGGGAGCCGTGCACCTGGGCCAGGTGGGGACAGAAGGGAAGATGGACAAGCATGTGGCCGCTGCTCCCTGTGGCCTTGGTGGTTCCGCCATCAAACTCTCGTGGGTTCTGCTCTGAGCCACCCACCCAGGAGCGAGGAGGGAGGAGGGTAGCGTCCACCCGCGCACAGGCCGGCCCCAGCCAGCGCCCCTGCACCCTGGGAACCCCGCCAGAGCGTGGGGCCTCCTACCTGGGCGTGGGGAGGCAGGCTGCCCCCTCGCTTGTACCACGTGACCTGTGTGTGGGCCACCCCCGCCACCACACAGGTGAGGTCCAGCGGCTGCCCTTCCGTCACAGTGGGCGATGAGGACTCGATCCTGACGGGCAGGGAGCTGGCGCCCGAGGCTGGAACCAGAGGCGGGTAAGCGGACCTCAGGGAGCCACCCGCCCTCCCCTCCCTCGGCCCCCAGGCCCCGCACCTGAGAGGACGACCACCTGAATGCGGGCCTGGGCGCTGCCCGCGGGGCTGGTGGCCACACAGAGGTAGAAGCCAGCGTCGGCAGCCGTGATGGCCGGGATGAGCAGCGTGGCGATGTCCGTGCGCTCGGACCTGGCCTGCCACACAGCCAGGGGCTCAGCCACCCGAGGGCCTGCCTGGCCCGGGCAAGCAGGGAGGACAGGCGGAGGGGCGCCCAGGCTGTGGCAGACCCGGGGCCAGTATCAAGGCCCAGCCGGGCACCAAGGGCAACGGAACCAGGCCGGGGTGACGGCCCGGGCCCAGGGTCCCAGGAGGGAGTGCAGGGAGCCAGAGGGGAAGAGGTGGGCATGGGGGCTCTCGTGGAGGTGGCGGCCTGGGAGATCTCACCTGCGGGGGGAGGCTACCGCCTTCCTTCCTCCAGGTGATGGTGGCACTGGGCACACCCGCGGCCCTACAGTACAGCCTGACCGTCCGGCCTTCGTGCACCTGGGTCCTCTCCGGGCTCACCTGGACCCTGGGCCCACTGCCCCCTGCAGACAGTGCCCTGTGAGAACAGTGCTCGGGCCGCCCACAGCTCCCGGCCGCCCTCAGCCCGGCCCGCTCACCGTGCACCTGAAGCATGGCCCTGGCCACGTGCTGCCCGGCGCTGCTGAGGCCCCGGCACAGGTACTGGGCCTGATCCGAGGCCTCGACCGCTGGCAGGCGCAGGATGCCACCGTGAATTTGTGCCTTCTGAGGGAGCTGGCCACCAGGGCCCCCTAGCGTGGAGGTGTGGAGTCAGTGCTGACTGGCACTGGCCTTGCTCAGGCTCCCAGGGGCCAGTCCTGGCCCTGCCCTCCCACCTGCAGGACGGTCAGGCCCCGAATGTCGCTGCGGCACAGCCTCACCTATCCACTCAAGGGTGGGTGTGGGGCTGCCCGTGGCGCTGCAGCGGAACTCGGCCGTCTGCCCGGGCTGCACCGTGAGCTGTGGCGGATGGATGGAGACCACGGGAGCAGACGAGGAGCCCGGGGCTGGGGGAGAAAGACAACGTGGCAGGTTGGGGAACAGAGCTGACCGCAGTCAGAGCCCTGCCACTCTCTGCTTTGGCCCTAGCCCTGCAGGGCCAATTGTTCACCCAGTGGCCAGAGGGAGGAAAACACCAATGGGAGCCAGGCACAGTGGGGGCACAGGCCTGTGACCCCAGTGACTCAGGAAGTTGAGGCAGAAGGGTCACCAGTGCAAGGCCAGGCTGGGCATGTTAGTGGGACTCTGTCTTAAAATAAAAAAAGGACTGGGGATGTAGCTCTGTGGTAGAGAGCCCTTGGGTTCAATCCCCAGAACAAAACTGAAACAAAACAACACACACAAACATCTGTATGTACACATCTGTCTCAATGGGACCTTGTTACCTCGCTTTGTGAGATCTGCTCATGGGTTCCCTATTGCTTTATAATAAAACCCAATCTTCCTCTGCTCCTCCACATACCGCACACTTTCACCTGCTTGGACCTGAGGGTTACCCACTCTCCCTCCTGCAGCCTTAGCCAGGTGGGTCTTGCTATTCCTTGGCCACAAGCTCCTGCCTCAGGGCCTTTGCACATGCTGCTCCCTCTGCTCTCTAATTGGCTCTGCGCCTTTCCCTTCAGGCCTGGGCTTAGGCGTCACCTGTACAGCAGCCCAGCTGCAGCAGCCCCCTCCCCGTCCCCTGAGCTCCTTCCCAGTAACCACATGCGATTTGTCTGTCCATTTATTCCCTGGCTATGTGTGAGCTCTCAGCGTGGATCTGCATCTCAGGAGCATTGAAATCCTGTTTGTCCTTCTGGTCCCTGCTTCTTTGGAGGCCCAAGACCAGAACCGGCATACTCTAGGCACTCAGAAATGAGAAATGGAGTGCAGTCCCGGGGCTGGAGGGGCGTGGGGGCGGTGGCTCGGGCGTGGTGACATGGGGCTACCTTGCACGTGCAGCGTGGCCGTGCCCTTGTCCATGGCGAACATGTTGGAGCCCGTGCAGACGTAGGTGCCCGCGTCGCTCAGGTGCACGTCGCGGATGGTGAGGATGCCGTTGAAGTCCATGGCGCGGGAGGGCAGCTTCCCGTTGTGCAGCCGCGTCCACACCAGGGTGTAGGCGGGAGACTTGAGGGTGAGGCCGAGTGAGGATCACGTGGAAGGTTCAGAGACCCCATGACAGACCCCGCCCTCTCCTGCCAGCCCACCTTGCTCTTGGCTGTGCAGATGAAGGTGACGTCCGCCCCGGGGCGTACGCTCTGGCTCCGCTGCTCCTCCACTGTCACCGTGATGGGCTTGCTGGGCGCCTCTGTGGGGACAGGGAGCCCTCAGTGAGCTGGGGTCTGTCCTGTGACCACATTTTCTTTCTCTGTCCCCTTCTCTGGGGGTCACTTCTTTCCTGGTCCAGCTTAGATGCCACTCACTGCCCTGGTGCCTGCCGCCCCCGCCCAGGCTGAAGCCAGGCAGCTGCACCACCCCCTCGGTACCCAGAGCCTCGCCCAGGAAGGAGCCCCTGGTTCCAGCTCAGGATTCCAGGCCACAAAGGAGCTCTTAACACTTGACACCTCACTAGAGCGAGTTTCCCCATCTGGTTCCAGTGTCCATCCTCCCCAACGGCATTCCACACCCTCGGGCTCCCTCTGCCTCCCAGCCACCCTCTGTGCTCACAGCTCAGGGCTGCTCACACACACCTGTTCCCGTCTTCCCAAATCCCCAAATCTACCCGCTCCCCCCTCCCTGGTCCCTGAGGGATGGACCCTCCTCCTGCCCACCCCCACCCCACCCGGCACCTTCTAAGACCTGTCCCAAACATGTCCCGCCTCTGGTGCCACACCATCCTCTCCTCTCCGTCCCTGCAGGGTTGGTCTACTCTACAGATCAGTGTGTTCTGGAATTTTCCAGTTCTGGACCCCGTGTTTCTCCGTAGAGCTGCTACCCCACTTCCCAGCCTCCCTTCAGAGCTGAGCCCCTTGAAGAGCCTTCCAGACCTGCCACTTTCCCACCCACCGGTCTCCGCCTTTCTCCCCACTGACGACCACTCTTGTCTGACCCCAAGGTTATCTGGGTCTTTATCTCACATCCCGGGGCAGCTGGCCAGCGCCTGCCCCCTGCCTCCCCGCTTCCCGAGGCCACCCTCCTCAGCTGCCTCCCACCCCACTGGCTGCCCCCTGCAGCTTTTCCTGTCCTTCCTCTTTGACTTGACATGTGCCACCTGGAGCTCCCTGCAGCTCTGTCCTGGGCCCTGTCTTGCAGTCACTGTCCCTGGGCGATCGCATTCTGCACTGTGACTGTTGACACCATTCTGGGGCCAAAAGCCCCCAAACTCACCTCTCTGGCAAGGACCCCTTTCCTCAGTTCAGACTCATACATAAAAACACCTGGTTGACAAACCCACTTAGGTGTCTCCCCAGCACCTCAAGCTTAGTGAGTCCAAGCGAAACTTGGGGTTCCCTCCAACCTGCTGCTGGCCCAGGCTGCTGTGCCCTAGCCCTGACTCCAGTGCCCTCCGGCCTCCCTTACACCAGAGGCTGCCTTCCTTGGCACAGGGCTTTCCTGGGGCCACTGGAGCCCACGGCGCATGCTCTGTGGTGGGACAGAGGTGCAGGGGAACTGAAGCTCTGGGAACAGGCGCAGACCCCAGCTCCTGGGGGCAGGGGCAGGGAGATGCTGAGATGCATGCTGTACCCTGGCTCCAGTGTACTCGGCCACACGGAGCCCAGACTGTGTGCAGGGGGAGGAGCTGCTGGTGACAACACACCTCCTCCCCCTGCACACAGTCCTGTTTCGGCTCTGTTTGCAGGAGCCCAGATGAAGACACCTTCCAGCGGGGGCCTTCTCCGCTCAGTAATGGCACCATGTTTATGCAATTCTGGGATCTAGACCCCGGGGAGCAGCCTCCTCTCCTGCCCTCCTGATCACAGTCAAGTGCTGCTGATTCTGTGTCTTAAACAGACCCTGAATCCACCGCCCCTTCCTGCCTCCACAGTCATGGCCTTGTTTGGGTGGCCACCGTCCCTTCCTGGTACATGGAAGCCCTGCAGCCCCGCCCAGGACAGGCCTCCGTGAGTCAGGGAAGAAGGGACTCACCAGTGACCAGCAGCTCTGCCCGGCTGGTATTGGCGTGGTGGAGGTTCCGACAGGTGCAAACGTAGACCCCGGCATCAGAGGGCTGCACGCTGGGAAAGTGCAGTTCAGAGCCTGGATGGGGGGTGGGGGGAGGAGCTTGTGAGCGCAGATGTCCCTCCCTGCATGCAGGGATAGGACCTGAGCAGGGCAGGGACAGGCCCACATCTCCCCTCTCCCTGGGGTGATTCCGGGGTGAAGATCCCAGCCAAGGCTACCTTGATGTCGCTGCTGGGTGCTGCTGGGCACAGGCCGCCCATCCTCACGGGTCCAGTAGAAGTAATGGGGTGGGCTCCCGCTGACCTGGCACCGCAGGGAGTGAGCGCCACCCTGGGGCACGATGCTCCGAGCAGGGTGGACCTGGACCACCAGCGGGGCTCGATCTGCTGGGTTGGGGCACAGCAAGGAGAGGCCGTTCCAGCAGGACACCCCCTCATCTCTCCCGAAAGCCCGTGTCCCCCAGGCCCCCAGGTTTCCTGCCTTGCCCATTACCCCCACCTGGGCTGTGGTCCCACTTACCCTGTGGCAGGCACCGGCCCCCTGGCACGTTGGGGTTACCTGTGTAACCCGGGGCACACCTGTCAGGAGGAACAAGCACCGGCTTTGTCAGGCCGTAAGGGACCCCGTGGCTCATGGTGGACTCGGGGAGCCAGAAACTCAGCCAGCTGCCTAGTGTGGGGTGAGGTGGCTCAGGGCTTTGGAAGGAATTTGGGGACCAAACAGTCCCCAGCACAGGGCCTGAGCTGAGAAAGGGGAGTGTAAGGGAGCATAATGAGGAAGGAGGGAACAGCCATTCCACAACCGTTTATTAGGCAACTACTATATGCCAGGCTCTAGGTGCGTAGTGAATGTGATGGAGTCCCTGGCTTTGCAGAACCAACTAACTGGGACCCCGACCTGGAAACACCACATACAGAGTTGGGCTAAGGGCCGAGCAGGTGTTAGCTCAGGAGGCTTCCCGAGGATGGGACTCTGAGCTGTATCCCCCTAGAGCGGGCTGTACTCTTCCTTCAGAGGACCGACCACAGTTTGTAAATCGTACACTCGTGTGATTATTTTTTCCCTCCCTTCCTATTCCAGGTGGCAGACTCCGAAAGGGCCGAGATGGACTCCCCTTGGCTTACTACTTTTATCTCCAACAGCTCTGTGTATACATGGCCCACAGGAGATGCTCAATAAAAACGTGTTGAATGAGGGAATGAAGCTAAGAGAAAGTTAACCAGGAAGGGGAGGGTTTAGGGGCAACAACCATTCCGTGCAGAAGGAACAGCGTATGCAAAAGCCGAACAGCAAGAATTCAGAAAAACTCTGTCCAGCTAGTGTGGGAAGTTGGGTGTCAGAAAAAAAGCATGCGGGTCCTAAGAGGTGTGGGCCTGTCCCAAGGGCAATGTAAGTCCTAGAAGGGTTTGGGGCAGGGAAGGCCCAGGACTCTGTCTAGGGCTCTCACCCAGGAATCTACCATTTGGTCCTTCCCTGTATCTCTCGTTGCAAACTTACTGCTCGCAGTACTGTCCGGTGTAGCCGGGCTCACAGGCTGTGCAGCGGTAGCCACCGGCTCCCAGGCTCTCACAGGTGCGGGAGAACCTGGGGATGAGAGGCAGAGGTCAGGCTGTTGGAAGGAAGTCCAGTCCCTATGCTGCTCCCTCCGCTCCTGTCCCGAAAGCCAAGGCAGTGCCCTCCGCCCCACAGAGGGACTGGTCCTGGGCCTCGAGTAGGGGCACCCACATGTTCTCCGGGTTGGTCAGCGGGCAGGCGCAGGGATGGCAGTCCTCGGGCGTTCCGGCCGTGGCGTCTCCGTAGTAGCCAGGTGCACACAGCTCGCAGAACTCCCCGGCAGCGTTGTGTTGGCATTGCTGCAGGGACAAGGGTGTCAGACACCAGCCGCCAGGTGGCATTTACCCTGAGCCTCGCACTTCTGCAATCCCTCTGTCCAGAAAGTCCAAGTTTGTGAACTTATCTTACGAAAATCACGGAAGGGCACAGTTTCATTACAGGGACAGTCATTCAACTCCGAGGTGTTACAACACCCTAAACATCCCAAAGCGGGGAACTGGATCCATTAAACACTAAATCCTCACAAACAGCTATCAAAAAGGACGGTGTAGATTTTATTTCATGTATTCTTCTCCCTAAAGACCTACGATCTCAAAAGAAAGCAAAGGTGTACACCTGGGTATCTGGGGATAGAACTTTGAAAACACATGCTTCAACGTGACAACGTGCGGGCTACGTATGCTCCTCCAAAGAGACGCATGTGTGTTGGATTAACATAGTATGTTCTTTGATCTGTGTTTTTAGCTCATGGCTCTATCAACCAGCTGGCCCCTGGTCAGGTACCCAGGAGAGCCATACACACACACTGCCCTGAAAAGCCAAGTATTACAAAAAGTTACATTATGGAAAGATATTCAGGAATTACTACAAGAAAACATTCGATTATTAAACACGATCCCATGTGTATTTGCAGAATGAAGAATATTAAAAAGCATGAATATTGCTGGGTGTGGTGGTGCACACCTATAATCCCAGCTGATTGGGAGGCTGAGGTGGGAGGAAGGCAAGTTCAAGGCCAGCCTCAGCACCTTAGCAAGGCCCTAAGCAACTTAGGGAGACCCTGCCTCGAAATAAAAACTGGGATATAAAGGGCTGGGATGTGGCTCAGCGACCCTGGGTTCAATCCCTGGTACCAAAAAGAAAAAAGAAAAAAGTGTGAATATTCAGGGCCGGGGAAGCAGCTTGGTGGTAGAGCACTTACCTAGTATGTGTGAGGCTCTGGCTTCAATCCCAGAACCACACACACACATACACAAACGCACACACATGCACACACACGCACACACACACACAAATGTTAATATTTGCCCAGGAAAGGAGCAAGACAGCGTCTCACTCCAGTGCTGACAGCGATTCCCCCAGGTGGTGGGTGGAGGGGCTCTTAACTATCCTTTTGGTTTCTCTCTATGGGCTGGGCTGGGGGGTGGCTCCGTGGTGGGCGCTTGCCCAGCAGACCAGAGGCCCTGAGTCCATCCCCAGCACTGCCAAAAAACAAAACAAAAAAACCTGCATTTAAGGAAAAAAAAAAAAAGCCTTTGTAGTCTGACTTCTACGGAGAACACGTCACTCGGTGATAAGGAATAAGATAAAATAAGAGCCCAAGATCTCTTTATAAAAGAGCATGTTATCCCATAGCTCTATCCTGCCCACCACATCCACAGCCCCTTGGTGACCTTGCCGGCTGACCCACGTGCTTGGCCACAGGCCATACCCTGTGACCTTGTCCCTGGATCCAGGCCTACCTTACCAAATTCCCCCTCCCACCCACACGCACCCTAGGACGGCCCCAGGCCCAGCCAGCGGCCCCCGCCAGCCACCCCTGGCCTTGCTAGCATCTCACCGAGCAGGCCCCGGTCTCTGGGTGGCACAGGTCTGAGTGGCCGTTGCATTCACACAGCTCACAGTGGCCGAGGTAGAGGCCGCTCCCTGTGCGCGTGTAGCCAGGGGCGCAGTCCTGGGAACAGAGCAAGTTGGGTCTCTGTTACCAACAGGATCCCACCTGGAGCCAACAGACCCACACCTCCCTCCCATCTGCCCCCTCCAGGGTCGAGACCCTGCTGGCTCTTGGAGCCCAGCCTCCCCCTACGTCCCCTCTCAGCAGCCCTCTGCCCCCATCTCCTCTTCACTCTCCTGCCGCTCTACAGCAGGGACAGTGTCTGCCCACCCTGCCTGGTACCCCTGCCCATCTGAGCACTGTGGGACCGTGTTTGTCCCTAATGGGACGCCTTCTCCACCCCAGGACTCTGTTCCTGGATTTTCTTCTGGTGGGAAAGGTTTTTACTGAAGAACTTCACCCCAAAGTGGGAAAAGCAGGTTGGAGAGCCCTAGATGGGAACAGACCCTTGAAGGTCCCCATGATGACGTTACACTCATTAAACAAAGTGAGGGACGCCACGCACAGCGCTGGGGACGTTGGTATACAGCAGAAACTGGTCGGCACAGGTGTGGAAAGACCCTCTTCCCTGTCCCTCCCACAAAGCCCCCAGGCCCGCCCTCCCTGTACTCCAGAGGGATTCGCGGGGCAGCTCCCCCCACTGGGGTGCAGAAGCCGCCCCCAGGACATTCATTCCCAGGCTCCTCCTGCAAAACGCCTTAGACTTGAAAACTGAGAAACAGGAAGCACAGCTGCTGGCTGGGGGGGGGGCGCTCTGCTCCTTTCCCTCCTGTCCACCGGCCTCCAGTGTTAGGACAGACTGGTCTCTGGAGTCCCTAGACCTGGGCTCAGACTGGCTTCTGCCACATGCTGGCTGCATGTCCCAGGGTGGACCACGGACGTCACCGTCCTCTCTTACCTGTGAAGGGGGTGACCACCTGGACCTCGGCACCGAGAGGATGCGGTGCAGGGGACCCCTAGCTACGGCAGCAGTCACGGCTACGGCAAGGCCTCGGACAGCTTGCTGATGCCGTCAGGTGCAGGGCGGCTGGTCGTCCACACACTCACCTGGCAGGACAGGCCCACGTAGCCTGGGGGACAGCGGCACTCCTCCACCTCCAGGGCCCGGGGTCCGGCGGAGGGCCCCGGCTGGGCGACCTCCATGCTGATGGCACTGATGCTGGCCGCCAGCGGCACCGAGGAGAACGTGGCCCGGACCAGGAGCTCGTCCAGGTCGGCCAGCGCCATCAGCAGGTGCTCACGGGTGGCCGGCTGCCCGTCGGGACGGCGCCAGAATTCCTAGGTGGGGGCAGCAAGAGTGGGTGAGGACACCGGGCTCTGCCCGTCCCCCCTTCTAGGCACTGACCCAGGGCTGTGAGGGGAGGGCGGGGGTGAGGGGCAGGGGCAGCGATATCAATGCCAGTCTCCAAATCAGAGCGGAGGGTGGGGTAGGGTCAGGTCCAGTGCCACGGCCAAGGGCCCCTCACCTCTCGGAAGACGATCTCATAGCTCTTCCCCTCTGGTCCCTGCAGAGCCGGCTGGGTGGCCACCAGCATGATGTTGTTGCCCTGGAGAGACGCGGGGGGGGGGTCAGGAGGGGAGTTGAGTGGCTCTCAAGGGACCGCCACCCGTCTCAGACCCTCCATGCCACTCGGCCTCTTGTGCTCTGCTCTCTGAAGCTCCAGCGCCCACCCCCGTCTGCTGTCCCCCATGCCCAGCGGGTGCTGTCCACCCAGGCAGTGGGGGCCCTGAGCCTAACCCCCAGGGCTGAAGAACGGACACCTGGAAGGTGGGTGGCTTCCACCTGCCCACCGAGGAGTCCAGCGCTCACCGTGATCTGGACGTCGGGGTCAGAGAGCGGGCTGCCCTGTGGGCCTGCCCTGTAGGAGAGGGTGTACCGCAGCCGCCCGCCGTAGGCCGCCACCTGCAGAGAGGCAAGTTCCCGTCACAGGCTGCCCTGCCCTCCCGGGAGTGGGCTTTGACCACACAGGGAAGGTCGGGCCCCAGGAGGCCTGCCCACCGTGCTGCACCTCCCCTCCCTAGGAGGCCAGTGCGTGGCCTGCAGCTGCTTGGGGAACAGGCCATCTCTCTGTCCCTCCCAGCCTCACACACGGAAGGACGCAGAGTGGCTTCCCTCCGAGCTCCCCGCTGCCTGAAGGTCCAGTCAACGAGCTTCACGCCCCTTTTCATTTACAGGAATTTCCCCCAAAGGGGACAAGGTAACGGCAGTGACCGCCACGGGAAGTCTCAAAGCTTCAAAAGTTCTCAGTCGAGGGTGGGCAGAGGCTAAGGGTGCCCTCAGAGGCCTCGCCTCCTGCGTCGGTGAAGTTTCCTCTGCCCAGAATCCACCCTCCTCTGGCTGCAAACCACACGGGGCTCTTTAAGGAACGATGCTTCCTCTACACGCAAGAGCCCTCCTCTATTCCAGGGGCCTGGCCCTACTCCTCCAGTCCTGGCCAATCTGCACAGCCCACCACTCCCCACTCCCACCCTGGATGGACAAGGGAACCTGGCACTGCTCCTTCTTCTGGACAGACAGAGACTCCCTTCTCTAGTCAGACAAGAAGCTGGAAAATGGCACCAACTGAGCCAAAGCTCTGCTGAGCCCCTGGATCCAGCCACGCCTGATGCTAGATGCCCTTGGATTCTGCAGTTTAATGAGCCAATAGATGGTTTGTTGCAGACAAGCCTGATGGACTTGGGTTTCTACTGGCAGGAGGGGAAGAGTTTTGGAGCTTGTTAGAGGGCTTGCATGAGAGTAGCCGAGGCTCCAGCTCGCCCCACTGGACTTTCCTCTCTCTCTTCAGCCACCGGGTATTGAGCTGACAGCTCAACACCACCCCGTGACGCCCACCCCACCGGCTGACCTGCGCGTTCATTCAGTGGTGAGCACTACCCAATCACCTGCTGACTACCTGCCAGGCCCTGGGCTCCACAGGCCCTGGGGCTGCTCTCTGCAAGCCCGGGGTGTGGTTAGGGAGGCAGGGACAGACCCAAACAACAACAGAAGCCCCTAGTCTCCTATTGACTTTGGATGCCAGCAAGATCACAGCCACACCTAGGACCAACTTTCTAGCAAGTAGTGGGTGCACATGGCGGCACAGTGACTGAGGGGGAGGCCTCTGCAGCCTGCAAGACCTAGGCTCCAACTGCAGCTCTGCTGGCTGTACGTTCTTGGGCAAGTCACTTAACTTCTCTGAGTCCCACTTTCCTCAAATGGAAACAGGAGTAAAACTAATACTGAGAGGCATCATGGGGACTAAGCAATTCTGGACACGTAAAATGACGTGCTTGGCACGGTGCGGAGGACGCACACCACGCTCAACCACTTGCCCTCACCTCCACCCTGGCTCCAGGAGACGCCCCTACACCTGCGCCCCTTGCCCCGGTGGTCTTGGGGTGTCTCTGAATGTTAACTCATCCCATCTTATGTAGACGCTGAAGAGGCCCCTACATAGCTTTGGGAACCAGGCAGAAGCAATAGCAATGCCAGCACTCAAGTGAAACCCAGGCCGATGATGACAATAACAACAGGGACAATGACAGGAATGACCATCAGACCAGGGGCGAGCTTTGGGAGGCCAGGCCCCTTCTGCTGGTACATGACACAGCACGCAGTAAGCACTTTTTGTGTCTGTGTACCAGGGATTTAACCCAGGGGCACTTAGCCACGGGGCCACATCCCCAGCCCTTTTCACTTTTGTTTAGAGACATCGGGTCTGAGTTGCTTTGGGCCTCTCTAAGTTGCTGAGGCTGGCTTTGAACTCATGATCTCCTGCCTCAGTCTCTGGAGAGTGGCTGGGACACAGGGGTGCGTGCCTGGCGGCAGTAAGTACTTAATGCTTTTGGAATGAAGGAATGCCCTATCAAGAGGCACTACCAAGAACAGCAGCTGGACACAGGGTCAAGGGAGCCTCAGCAGGGCTTGAGAAGCCCTTGCAGGTGAGACAGCCGGAGGGGCCAGGGCCAAGCCCCAGGGAAGTCCCCTTCCCGCTGAAGGCCTCAGTCCCCCGATCCGAGCCACAGAGGGCTCTAACAAAGGACCCTCTGACATTTTAGGATTCTCTGCCCCCCTGTGACCCTCCCGATTCCTCGTTACCTTGTCCCCCAGGAAGGCTCGGGGCAGCTGCCAATACCAGAGACTTCCAGGAAACAGAGAGAAGCCTTCGTGGGAGAGAGAGAACTAGGACAGAAGGGCGGGCGGTGAGGGCGCGGGCAGGGGCCGGGGCCTGCGGGCCACAGTGGGGCAGGGGGACAGGACCAGCCCGCCCCAAGCTCGGGTGCTGACCCCTTTCTCCGAGGAACTTGCCTCCCGCTCTGGACCTGGGCACCCCAGCTGCTCTAAGTGTGGCCGGGGTCAGCATCTCCCCAAGCCTGACCCCAAGATTTAAGCAGCCTGTAGGGAAACACTGAAGAATGAAGTGCCCTTTCACGCACATTTAAAGATGTACCGCAGCATCACTAAGGGCGTGTGATCAACCTAAAGGGAAACTGGACAGAAATGTCGGCCCAGGCAGCGGAGAGATTATGAAGCTGGTTCAAAGCAGCCGGAGTCAGGGTGGGGTCCCCTGGTGGTCGCCTTGCACATACCTGAGAGCTCACTGGGGAAGACAGGGCAGTAAAGGAGGAGGAGGAGGAGGAGGAGGGCGAGGAGGAGTGGGACCCGGGAGCTGCTCGCAGGGCAGGCTGGGGGCGAGGGGGCAGCCCCCGGTGAGGGGAGTGGTCAAGGGCGGCAAAGTTGGCAAGGAGCTGCCAGATCTCAGCGTCCATCCGCCTCTGGGCCTCGTCCACCTGGGGCACCGGGAGAGGAGGGACGGAGGAAAGGAGCAGAGACAGACAGAGACGATGCCCGTGAGGGAGGCTCTGCCAGCCCCCCCCCACTTCTGTGCACAAAGGCCAATGCCCGCTGCTCCGACAGAACCCCCTGCTCCTCAGGAGCCAGGTGGGCACATCCTGGGATGGGCCAACTGACTACAGGCTGCCCCTGTTGGGGATATGCCCTCCAGAGGGTGCCCATCAAGAGGCGGGCAGACAGCTCTCTGCCACCAAGACCAGAAGTGCTGGAGGCCACCCGGGCATCTGGGCAGGGGATGCTGCCCTTCAGGCCTGACCCTCCACAGGGGCTCATGGCACCAACCCACACCATTTTGTGGCTCTGGAATGTTTCTAGAACTCAGGAATGGACTGGGCACCAGGAGGGGCCCAGATGGGTATGGGGAAAAATGACCCGGGAAGACCAGGGTCTCAGTCAAAGGCTATTCCCTGGGGCCCGACAAGCCTGGCCCAGCCAGGCCTGGGTTACCTGTGGTGCCCGCTGGACCTGGCCCCTGCCCTCTGGGGGTCCCGGGATCCTCCCAGATGTCATGGCTGCCCGCCACTGCTCCTCTGAGAGGGACGTGCGGTTCTGACGGGGTGGAGGTCACAGGCCAGCTCAGTCCCTCAGGCTCCCAGAGCTGGAGCCCTGGGAAGGATGTGCTCCCAGGACCCGGTGGCCAGAGGGGCCACAATGACTGGGAAGAAAGGTGCATGCTCCCCTGTTTGGGTTGGCACACGGGTTACCCCAGGTGCTAGATGGGCATGTGCACCTGGGGGTGTTAGTGGTTGCCTGGGGGCAATGCCAGGGAAAGCTGGGGGACCAGGTATGGTCACAAGGATTAGCGTCAAGTTAGTTTCCCTGCCACCTCGATCACTGTCCTGACCTCAGGTGGTTGGCACCAGGATCAGATGACACAGCCAGGGAGGCAGCCAGAGGCACATGCCCCTGGGCAGCAGCGAGGGGCTGGACACAGCAGTGCCCTGACCCCGGGGCCGTGGGAACGGCCTGAGCTCATGCAGACCCACACTGTCTTGGGCACGGGGCATCTCCACACGCAGGGCGAGGGCACCCAGGAACACGCCATGCCTGTCACACCGGCGTCACACCTCCCACAGCGAGGGCCTACCTGGTGAGCCCAGCGCATCCGCGCCAAGTATGCCTCCCTCTGTGGGGCGTGAGAACCGCAGGAAGGAGACAGAGAGAGGTCAGAGCAGCAGGACAGGGCACAGGGAGGCCAGGAGAGAAGGGACCAAGGAAGGAGAGGGACTGAAGGTAGCCAGCTGTGCATGGGCAGGGGACTTGGCTCTGCTCATGGAACAGGACAGAGCTTCCCCTCCTAAGTGACCCTGGGGGCAGCTGCTGGAGCACAGGTCAGCAGGGGACTCCTGTGCCAAGCCCCACTTCCTTTGGGTCCCCAGGATGGCAGACAGCTCCAGGAACACCAGGGAAGGCTGCCTCGGTGTCCACCCTAGACCCCTGTCCCCATCACCATCCCACACCACCGTCCCTGGACCCCCTTCAGAGCGATAAAGACAGTCATCCCAGCCTAGCTAGTTTGGGTTTTGTTTTGGGTTTTTTTTTGGTACCAGGGACTGAACTCAGGGGCACTCGACCGCTCAGCCACATCCCCAGCCATTTTTTCTTGTATTTTAGTTAGAGACAGGGTCTCCCTGAGTTGCTTAGTGCCTTGCTTTTGCTGAGGCTGGCTTTGAACTGAGATCCTCCTGTTTCAACCTCTCGAGTTGCTGGGATAAAAGGCATGTGCCACCGCACCTGGCCATATATATATACTTCGAGACAGCTCCTATATATACACACACATATTTGAGACCAAGTTGCTTAGGGCCTTGTTATGTTGCCAAGGCTGGCCTTAATATTTCAGCAGTGCCCTGACCCCAAGGATTTCAATCCTTGCACCCCAGCCTCCTGAACTGCCGAGGTTACAGGTGTGTACCACCACACCTGGCTAGTGTAGCACTTTAAGGGCAATCTGAGTTTGAATCCTGCCACTGCCACCTAGGAGCTGTGGGACTTTAGAGAAGTTCCCCAGTCTCTCTTGAGTTTGTTTCCTCATGTAGGAAATGGGGCAGTGGGACTACATGGCTCATACAGTTGTGACTTATGAAACGCGAAACTGCTTGGGACGATGCCTAACATACAGGAAGCACTGGATAAATACGCCCCATAATAAAATTACTACACCCAACACCCAGCACGGAGCCTGCGGGGTAGACAAGTGAATTTAGAGGGAGTAAGTGAATGAAACGGAAATCGTGTCCCATTTGTCCCTGTGTCTCAAGGGCCTGGCCTGGAGCCTGTTTGCTGGAAACTGCACAAAAGCTCATCACTGTTAACAGCTGAACACACAGTGTGCCAGGCACGGTCTCCAATCCTCCAGCCACCCGGAGTTGAGGGCTATGAGGAGGTGTCCTGCCAGTAGATGGCAGAGCTGAGGTTCACCCCCAAGGTCACACACTGAACCACGATGTGGTGGCCGCCCACCAAGACTCCCCTGGGGTGAAGTGTGTCTGAGTCCCCATGGACCCAGGTGCTCGGGGAGGGTCTGCAGCCCCCCACGGGTCCCACCTTGTCGCCCTGGTAGGCCTCCGGCAGCTGCCAGTAGAAGGACTCATGGCCAAGTTGGGCGAAGTTGGCGAAGGAGAGCTGGGCGCCCTCGGGCACGGGCTCCACGGTGAAGCCTCCCGTCAGGCGGCTGTTCCGCTGAGGGTTCACCAGGGCAAAGCCTTGGAAGTCCCCAGGGGCAAAGCGGGTGTCGATCTGGCAGCAGAGAGAGGATCAGGTGTCAGTCTAGTACAGGGCAGGCATATGGGGACAGGGGACAGGGACAAAGGTTATCAGGACAGGAAATGGGGCCTGCTGAGATCAGGGGAGACGTAGGGGTGGGGGCACATCAGGGTGGAGGATGGGGAGATGCAGGGCTCAGGCTGGAATAGGCAATAATGGGGGCACAGGGAGGGTCTTAGGACGGGGGTCAGTGTCACTGGGCGTGGGCCTGGGATGGGCAGTACTGGGGGCTCAGGGATGGCTGTCCTCACAGGGAGCCGGGACTTGGCTGTGCCAGGCTCCTGGCTGGCCTCAGGGAGCAGCAGGGAGTGGCGGGCTGTGTGGCTCTTACCAGGTGGCGGGTGTAGGAGGAACTGGCACACTGCTGGGTGACTCCCATGCAGAAGCAGGGCAGGCAGCCGTCCGGGTGGCCGGCGCTCAGGTGGAAGTGGTGGGGCCGGCAGCGGCTGCAGGTGAGACCCTCCACCTTTGCCTGGGTGGGTGCGTGGAGCATGTGTGTGGGAACTCGGGGGTCTCCTCATTCCCAGCAGCAGCCCCCGCCCCCCCAGTCCCCGCCCCCAGGGGCCGTGGAGTCCCTCCCACTGTGAGGTGCAGGCCCGGCACTGACCTTGCACTGGCACTGACCAGCAGCATCACACTGGCTGCTGATGCTGCCCTGAGGGTCACAGCCACAGCCTATCCCCTCTGGTGGTTGGCCATCTCCTGAGATGGAGGAAAGCCACAGCTGGAGCCCCCAAGCCCACCCAGCACCCCCAGCCCCACTGCTGAGCATGCAACCGCACCAGGCACCCAGTTCATCTCTGAGGTCAGAGTGGTAAAGCCACCGGACCCAGGTCACAGGGGAACAAAGGATCTGCCCTGGCTCCACCCGGGAGAATGGGTAGCCCGACCCTACAACCCTACTCACTCCGGCAAGGCTGGCCCTGGCTCGGGTTGCCATAGTAACCTGGGGCACACCTGCAGAGAGAGCAGAATGCTGGGGAGCCTGAGAGGGCCAGGCCTGGGGTGGGCGCCTGTGTTTGGACTCCATGTCCCCCAGGTGCTGGAAGAAACCATTTAGCCCAACTCATCCATTTTACAGACGGGGAAACAGACGGGAAAAGGGGAGGAATGTGCTCTAGGCAGTGGGTCAGCCAGATGGGACCTTGGCCCCAGGACCTGCAGCAATAGGGGTCTCCTGGGAAGAGGGGTCAGGTGGGGCAGGGGTGCTGGGGCTTGAAGGTGAGCTGCAGGCCAGCACATCCGAGGCCTTCGAGGCTCGGAACACCTGGCTGGAGGTGGAGGCTCCAGCGAAGGGAGCTGACTGCCTCTGGGGGCCCGTGCAAGGAAGAGCGGGAGGCCCCTGGTTCCTCCTGGACAGGACGGTGGGCCCACCTGAGGACTCCGGAGGAGACCCCTCCTACACAGCTTCACCTTCCCGTCCCTGCCTCACCTCTCACAGTGGCGCCCGCTGTGGCCTGGCGAGCACGAGTCACAGGTCGGGTGGCCATCGGTGTCCAGAAAGCAGGTATGGGCAGCCCTGAGATCATGGGGCAAGTTTCCCGTGAGGAAGGCAGCAGGGCCTCCTCTCCCCAGGGACCCTCCCTTGGACCCAGGGAGGAGAGGGAGGAAGGGCGCATGCTCAGAGTTCCACGAGCACCATTCTGCTCAGCTGTCACACAGGGGCTAATGTGGGGTGCTGTCCCCGTTCGACAGATACAGTGGAGGCTCTGAAGGTGAAGCGCATCTTCCACCAAGTGACAGGTCGGGGAGCCTAAGACGGGTTTAACCTCTGCCCCTCAAGAGGACCCAGAGGGAGGGAGTGTGGCAGGGGTGGTACACAGGAAGGGCAGGGGCGGGACGCACTGGCCAGCAGCAGGGGCTCCATAGCATGGGCACGGCTGGCAGTCCTGTGGCGTGCCCCTCTGGGCATCCCCGTAGTATCCTGGCTGGCACTGCTCACACCGGGGGCCCACTGTGTGGTGCTGGCAGCCCTGGAGGGACAGAGCACTGGTTGAGGCCAGGTCCCTGAAGGCCACAGATTCCTGGGGTGGAGAGGAAGGGGCGGAGCTCACCTGGCAGGCACCAGTCTCAGGCTCACAGACCTCCGAGTGGCCGTGGCAGCTGCAGCGTTCACAGGTGCCCAGGTAGAGGCCGCTGGGCATGCGTGTGTAGCCTGTGTCACAGTCCTGGGGACAGGAAGATGGAAGGGGTATGAGGCTGGGAGGGCCTGGGGGGGTAGGGGGAGCACATTGGATGGGGCTGCTGGACAGGTGCTGGCCTGGAGCTCACCTGGCAGGACGGGCCCCGGTACCCAGGCGGGCAGGTACAGTGCTCCACCTCCAGCGCAGGGTCCTGGCCAGTGTCCTCAGGCACAGCCACATCCATGCTGATGCCAGAGATCCTGAGCACGACAAGGCCACTGAGTGAGCCACTTGCTCTGGGCCAGGCAAGCCTGGGGTCCTACACTTGATGGCCTCGTTTGTGCTCCAATGTCACAGTGCTGTGCGGCCCTGTCCAGATGCCTGGCTCCTTCCCCAGCAGCTGCCTGGGCCCAGGCGAGTGGCTCACACCTGCAACTTTCTCCAGAGAAGTACCCGTCCTTGCCCAGCCAGGTTACACCCCAGCTCCCCAGGTGACCAGTGCCAGGACTCTAAGTCCGAGGCCTCTGTGGGGCAACTGACCTGCCAGAGCTCCCTTCAGGGAGGCAGGGCCAGACTCGACCAGAGCCACATCCCTGCTTGGTCCCTCCCTCCCTGTGGGCTCACCGTGGGAATCACATGCACCCGACTCCAGTCCCTGACTAGAGCCAAGGCCCGCGAGGGAGGCGGTCAGTATGAGCTCCGTTTGACAGACGGAGAGAACAAGGCACGGAAAGGCCACGTGGCCTGTAAGTGGCAGAGCTGGCTGGCGGGCTGCGCCACGATATACCAACTGGAGGACAGCCCCCTCCTGAGCCCCGGTCCTCCTGCCTGGGCCCTAGGCACCTGCTCTCAGCGGGCTGCTGGGTGTAGGATGCTCGGACCAGGAGGGCATCGATGCCCGCCAGCGCCATCAGCAGGTGCTCCCGTGTGGCCGGCTGTCCGTCAGGCCGCTGCCAGGCTTGCTGTCAAGGAAAGGACAAGTTGTTTAACGGCCGACTTCCCAGGGGCCTGTCCCCACCCGCCCCAGCAGGGCCCCGCGCAGGCGGCTCACCTCCCGGAAGGGCACAGTGAAGGCGCTGGGCTGGCCGGGGCCGGGCTCCCGGGCACTGTGATGCTCCAGGACGATGCCGTTGCCCTGCAGCACCACCAGCGGCTGCCCGTGCAGGGGCGCAGAGCCCGGCTGGGGCCGCTGGGTCACTGTGAAGCGCAGCTCTCCTCCGTAGGAGGTCACCTGTGACACAGGCAGATGGGTGCTCAGCGGAACCCCCGCCACCACCCCAGCCACCTCTCCCAGGCAGGGAATCTCCTCCTCCTCCCAAGACACCACGACCTTCTAGCTCCCAATCCTGGATCGTGCTGTTTCTGATGCTCACTTCCTTTTCCCTTCCCACCCCTGCCCACCTTGTCCCCCCGGAAGCTCGAAGGGAGGCTCCAGAAGTAGGGTCCAGACAGGAGGCTGTGGAAGGAGGAGAAGGCCAGCTCCCCGGGCATGGGGGACGAGATGCCCTCGCTGGTGGTGTGGGTGCCTGCGGCGTCGGTCAGGCTGAAGTCACTGGGCTCCGAGGAGGCCCCCAACACCTGCGAGAGGAGAAAGGGCCGCAGTGGGGCTGTGGCCTGAGACCTGTCCTCGGTTCACCGCCCTGGGCCTGTCATCCTGCCCGCTGGCCGCCCACCCGCGGCTGGCTACCTGGGCGCGTCTCCAGGAGGAGCTGGTGCACTGGCGGCTGACACCCATGCAGAAGCACTTGAGGCAGCCGTCGGGGTTCCGGGCACTCAGGTGGAAGGAGCCGTCGGCACACTCGTTGCACAGACGCCCTACCACGTTGTTCTGCAGGCACAGAGCTGGGAGCTGTAGGACAGCCCACGGAAGGGGCTGCCTGGAGCTTCCAGTTGAATCGTCCCAGTCTAGATGGGACCCGAAGCCCAGCAGAGTCATCGAAAGACAGATTGTGTCACCGCTATCTGAACAATACCTCTCCGGTTAACAGAAGCTTATGCAACCCTCTCCCCCTTTTCTCTCTGCCTTCTAGGGGGCTCCCAGAAAAGTTTAGATGTGAAACAGACAATTTGATTAAAATCACTGCTGTTACAATTTATGGAGTGTTGCAGGCACTGGGCTAATTTCTCCCCAGTCATCACCTTACTTACACCCGAGTGCCTCCACAGGTAGGTACACTATCTCCAGCTTTGGAGGGAACTGAGGGGACAGGAAATGACTGCTCAAGGTATTAAAGACCTGGAGTGCCTGACTCCAGAGTCTCTTCTCCACTGACACTTGACTCTCCCACCCTTATCGCAAGTGACTTCCTTTCTCGGAGCCTCCGTCTCCTGGTAACTTAGGGATGATGGCACCTGCACCACCGTCTCAGCGTGAAGACTGACCGTGCGGTGGGGACAAGGGCTTAGTGCAGACACGACAGCACAGGCCTGCTCCAAGGACAGCTGGAGCCTGACTCCCTAGCCAGTGCTGCGGCCGGAGGCCAGGCCACCTCTCAAGGTGTGGAAGACCAGACTGCCAGGCCCATCAGCCTCCACAGGCCAAGGTAGGGGAGGACGGAGCTTCCTCCTCCCTTGCCCGGCGGAGGTGCCAGGCCCCGGCCTGGGTGGGGTGGCGTGCGTACCTTGCAGCGGCAGGCTTCTCCAGCGGTCCCCACGCTGCCCCGCTCATCACAGCGCACAATCTCCTGGTCTGGGAACACGAGGTGGGTGTTGGCAGGGCAGGCTGGGGTGGGACACGGTTAGGACAGGCAGACCCCGAGGATGCTGGGGTTTGGGCTGGGCTGCAGGGGGAGGTGTCGGGGACGTGGCCGCCATACTCACTGGTGGGCCTGCACTTCCCGCCAGGCTGGATGGGGTTGCCCTGGTAGCCAGGGGCACACCTGGGGGAGAGCGGGAGGTGAGCAGCTCTTCTGCGCCCCACCTGTACAGCCCACCTCCCGCCGCTGGCTCCCCTCACCTCTCACAGCGGCGGCCTGTGTAGCCGGGGGCACAGGCGTCACAGGTGGCTTGGCCATCAGTATCCAGAAAGCACGTGTCAGAGAATCTGTGGGTGTCAAGGGGGCAGCGCATGGGGCAGGCTGGGGGCCAGGCCCTGCACTCCCCTGGGGAAAAGATTACCGTCCCCATGGACATGGTACGCTGTGGGGCACGATGTTGCCCCCGGCCCACCTGTTCCTGATCTGCAGTGACGGCAGGAAGCCAGAAAGGGAGAGTGAGAGCCAGAGGCCCAAGGGAGCGAGCACAGCACAACTCAGGGACCAGTCTCCCCCTCCCTGCCTAGAGCGCGGCCCCAGCCCATGCACCAGCCAAGTCTGACCTGCGGGAGGCATCGATGTACGGGCAAGGGCAGGGCCGGCAGGCGGTGGCCGTGGCCTTGGTGGCATCCCCAAAGAAGCCAGCTTTGCACTTGTCGCACTGGGGTCCCTCCGTGTTGTGCTGGCAATTCTAGGAGGACAGGGAGAAGGAGGGGCTCAGGGTCTGCGGCAGAACTGGCCAGGGGGCTGGGTGGGCCTCGGAGGCCGCCCGGCTCAGCCTCCCCCATCGGGATGGAAGTAGTTAGTCCACAGCTTTGTGGAGTGTCTAGCGACGTCCTCTCACCGATGACAGGCTCGCCCCCGACGGCAGCCAGTCTCATAGGTGGTTCCAAACGCCTACTTTATAAGGACCCAACCGCCACCCGCTTCCACTCTGCACCCACAGGCCAGATCTGCCCCTGGGGGCACGCAGTCCTTTGCCCCTGGAGGGTGCTCAGGGATTTGAAGAGAGCAGTTCCGCCCGCCTCGAGCCTTCTCTTCTGTCAGCACCAACCATCGAAGTTCCTCTCTGTTCTTTTTCTTAAATATTTTTTAGTTGTCAATGGATCTTTAATTAATTAATTTATTTATATGTGGTGCTGAGGATCGAACCCAGGGCCTCACACATGCCAGGCAGACGCTCTACCTCTAAGCCACCACCCAGCCCCTCCTCCACTATTCTTAAGAAATAAAGTTGGCATCTACCCCTTTTCCTTGGGGATGCCCCTGGAAGACCCACACCCCACACAACTCTCTCTGGGATCAGTCTGATCAGGGGGGAAGGGAATGAGAGCTTCATGTCCCTTGTCTGGACACTGTACCTCTGTCCATGCATCTAAAGGCCATGGTAGTTTGTCTAGCAGTGATGCAGGCACAAGGGAGCCTCACACCTGCCCTTGCCCCTGCCCCCTTCCCCCTCCAGCGCCAAGTGCCAGCGGGCCCTACTCACCAGGCAGTGGCCATATACAGGATCACAGGAGCTGGCATGGCCATTGCAATTGCAGCCAGAGCAGGTGCCCAGGTAGGGCCCACCAGGCACCCGGGTGAAGTGGGCATCACAGCTCTCGCAAGACAAGCCAGAATAGCCGACGGGGCACCTGTGGGGGCAGGATTGAGAGGGGGCTGTGGAAATGTCCAGGCCCGGCTGTCTCTCCTCCGCCCTTGTCAGGGTCCTAGGGGTCCCCGCCAGGCCAGGTCAGGCACCTGCACTCCTCCACGCTGTGGGCACGGCCGTGGCTGGTGGGATGGGTGACGGTGGTGTCCATGGTGACGTCGCTGAGCCCCGCGCTGGCCATCTTGGCGTTGTAAACCGTCTGCAGAAGCACGGCCTCCAGGCTCCGCAGCACCTGCAGCATCTCTGCCCGCTGCACCGGCCGCCCGGACTCGTGCACCCAGTGCTCCTGGTGGCAGCAGAGTGGAAGAGTGACACGCCAGTACCTCCCAGCGCACCCCACCTGCCCTTGGCTCAGGTGCCCCTCACCTCAGAGAGCTGGACTTGGCGCTGGTTCACGGCCCCGGGCTGGGTGGGCTTGTGGCCTCGGGAGAGCAGGCGATGCCCGGCACCCACCAGGACCACGTCTGGCCGCTGCACTGGCTCCAAGAGGCCACGTGCCAGCTCATAGCGCACCTTGTAGCGCAGGGAGCCACCATAGGAGTCCACCTGGTGGACACAGGGCAGATCAGTGCAGGGCAGCTGTGGGCATGTGATGCCCGGTGCCCCGCCATGAGCAGCCGGCCCGGCCTCTGGCTCCTCCCCACTTCTGCTTCCCTGTTGCTCCCAGAGGGCTTGGTGCTGAGCAAGGAGGCAAGAGTCCAGCTCTGCCTCTGGGGTGCTCAGTCCGTGGCAGCAGCTCCGTAAGGCTGTGCCCAAGGAGGCCGAGGCGGGGACGCTCACGCAGCCTGGGTTTGACTGTGGTCAGGGGAGGCTCCCTGGATGAGAGGATGCCAGCCCTTTCCCGAGGCTGAGGAGAGTGGTGGGCAGAGATCCTGCCCTGCATGAGGAGCTGCCGCCCAGGGCTGTGCCAGGGCCCGAGCCACCTTCCCCTGGCAGCAGACGCTACACCAGCAGAGCACAAGTGGGTTCGGAGGACGGGAGGAGCGCTCGGCCTCTCCTGCGCGGGGCAGCCTGGCCGCACCTTGTTGCCCAGGAACTGCTGCGGCAGAGACCAGAAGGAGTCGTGGATGAGGAAGCGGCGCGACAGGTCCACCAGCTGGAACTCCTGCAGGGCGGTGTCGATCTGCAGCTGCGTGGAGGACAGCGGCGGCATGCCGGGCTGGGAGGGCATCGTCACGTTCACACCTGCAGGGGCGAGGGCGGGCTGAGGGCCGCAGCATGTGCCTGAGAACATTCACCTCGAGGGGCAGGAGTCTAGAAGGGTGGGCAGGTTCTAGGGGAAACCCGACTTAGAGAAAACTGTGGTCTCTCTCCCAAGTTAAAAAAAAGCATGAGAGTTTGCCCTTCTAGTCTTGACTTCCTCCCGAAGATTCCATCAGTGCTCCCCAGGCATACTCCGGGAAGGCAGAGCCATTTTGGGAACTGCAAGATCAATGAAAGGTCAGCAGCGGGACTTCTCAGAGCCTTTTGCTTGGTAAGAGATTCATGGACTGTCAGGCTTGGGACAGCCCAGCGGGGGCAGTAGAGAGCCACGAAGGACCAAAGACCAGGAGGAGCCCAAGCCCTGGCTGCACCGCGCTCCAAATGTATGAGTCTGAGCAGAGGCCTCAGTTTCCCTGCCTGTAACATGGGGCTAACAGTGGCCCATCTCTTAGAATTATTATGAAGATAAAATGAGCAAATTTAAATTGATTTCAAATGCCTAAAAATAGGTGCACCAAAGGGGTGATTAAAAATTGGCGCGCCCTAGTCATGCATGGTGTCACACCATGCATGTGGTGTCATCCCAGCCACTCGGGAGGCTGAGGCTAGAGGATAGCAAATTTGAGTTCAGCCTCAGTGACTCAGCAAGATCTTATCTCCAAATAAAATATAAAAAGGGCTGGGGTTGTAGCTCAGTGGCAGAGCTCTCACCTAGCACGTGTGAGGCACTGGGTTCGATCCTCAGCACCACATAAAAATAAATAAAATAAAGGCATTATGTCCATACACAAATACAAAAAATAAAAATAAAGGGCTGGAGAAGTACCATGTTGGTTGGTGGACCTCTAGCAGATGGGGAGCCCGTTGCTCCCCAAGGCCGTCCCCGCTGGCTCTGGACAGAGTTTTTTTTTTTTTTTTTTGGTACCAGGGATTGAACTCAGGGGCACTCGACCACTGAGCCACACCCCCAGCCCTATTTTGTATTTTATTTAGAGACAGGGTCTCACTGAGTTGCTTAGCACCTCGCTTTTGCTGAGGCTGGCTTTGAACTCATGATCCTCCTCCCTCAGCCTCCTGAGCCGCTGGGATTATAGGTATGCACCACCATGCCCCACTATCTGGACAGTTTTGACTCTTAGAAAGTTCTTCCTTACACTGAATCCACATCTGTCTGTCAAAAGCATCAACACTTGATCCTGAACATGGAGAAATCCAGCCCCTTGCGCAGAATGACCACACAGCCCCATCCAGGCTCCACCACACTGGCCCTTCTTCTCCTCCCCTGGGGATGTTTTCAGGGCCCCTCCTCCTTCTCAACCTCCACACACAGGCCACCTGCTTGGTTTGGAATCCTCGCTGCCCTGACCATCCACATTCCAATCAGATAGCCCTGGTTTCCTGCTCTGCCTGTATTTAGTGTGTGACCCCGTTAAGCCCGACAGCCTGATGGCCTCCCGCCTCCTCTGGCCTCCAGCTTTTCATTTGAAATCCCCAAACAGCCCTGAGCAGCAAACACTATTGGCGTTCTCTGATTGGCCACGTCAAGCCAAGGTGCCAAGTGCGTGCTCAGCAAGTGGGGCCGTTAGTGGTCTAGACACACTGGAGGGCAGCTGTGGGAGGCTCCATGCAACCCTCTGTGGGTCCCCAGCTGAAGAAGTAGCACATCAGGCAAGATTCATTGGGGGCTCAGTGCACAAGGAGCGACCCCTAGACCTGTGCGCAATTCTCCACGCTGCAGGAAGGGAACAAGGCTTGGCGAGGACGGGCTGCCTGACGTCGGGTGGCAGATGGCACCACTAAGACCTGAACCCAGGTCAGCTTGATGTCCGGTGTCCTCTTAGCCGCCCAGCCAACTGCTGTCAGAGTGACAGAGGGTTAAGTTCCACTGCTGGCCTTTATATTTGGGGAAAAAGTCCCAGAGGAGGAAAATGACTGGCGCACTGTCACCCAGGCAGTAGAGCAGGGCAGCCCTGGGCTGGGAAGAGGCCAAAGCCTGGGCTGTCATATTCCAGTGACCCCCGGTCCCTCTCAGTCTCAGAACAAGGTTGTTGAGAACGAAGATGACACAATTACCAAGTATCGACTACCTACCTGCCTGGGACCAAGTACTGTCCTAAGTGACCTACATGACCGACCGTCAGGCCTTAGAAAAACCTAGGAGTGACTGGTGCTCCCCTATTTATAACCTAATGATGTGTCTACTTATTATTTTGACATGGGGTCTCAACAAATTGCCCAGGTTGGTCTCAAACTTGCAATCCTCCTGCCTCCGTCTCCGGAGGAGCTGGGATACAGGCGTGGTGGTGCAGGCTCACACGCCCATTTTGTAGATGGACAGACTGAGACACAAGCTGGTATGGAGACCAAGGGCGCGTCAGCAGCAGGACGCGCAGCAGGAGACTGCCC